TGGGGGGGCACTTAGGTGGATACGGATCGCCGTCCTGGGGGAGGGGTCTAAGGGGAGGGGGTGCCCCCCTCCCCTTTGGAAAATTTTCGCATACGGAGGATGGGCTAGATGCAAAATGGTGCCACATTTGCAGCTCATTTGAAGAAAATACGAATTACTGTGCTTCTTTGTCCTTATGAAAAACTAACTCAGATGATGGGAGTTGAATATAACAAAATATATATATATTTTTTTACCAACCCAAATCTCAGATGGGGGGGCACTCGGGGGGGCACTAGGTTTTCCAGGGGGGGCACGTGCCCCCCCTGGCCCCCCCCTTGGCGACGCCACTGCCTTTGCCCTCCTTGTTTGGTTAATTTATCGAGATCTCGGTACGGTACGTCGCCAGGCTCGGGTCAAGGTCTGTACAAAATGGTACATGTACATACTTGTGTTGTGGTGCGTTGTAAACACAGGAAAACAGCCGGGTCGGGCATTTCTTTCTATCGGTTTCCTACGGACGAAGAGCGTCGGCAAAAATGGATCAATGCAATAAAACGTGAACCGGGTTGGATGCCGAATGACGGGAGCCGTCTCTGTAGTGCACATTTCATTTCTGGTAAGTCATGTAGGCCTAGGCTATAAATCAGGCCCGTAGGAAGCTAACATTTATTGGTCAGGCTCATCTCAGGGCAGGGAGCTCAGTTGATGCGAGCGCGTAGCGCGAAGCCCTAACGGCGTGGGGTTGGGCCCCGAAAAATGTTGGATTCCAAACGCTCTGTGGTGCGATCTGAGGCAATTTCTGACCACTATAACCTTTTTGTTTTTAGCTATCATCATTTAAACATCATTTTCAAGTTTGGAGTCAATTATCTTTTTATATTTTTTTTTGGCGTGAGAAATCCCATGTCGGCGTTAAAAGCATGAGAATAACCTGAAATGTGTGAGTCTTACGCTAAATGTGTTAGAGTTGGCAGGCCTGCAGAGCCGGATCCAGGATTTGACCCAATCCCTCCCAAATGTAACCAAAAGCCACTCCCCCAACACTATGCATGTATACAGGGAATTTTATTCTTCGTAATTTGTACAAGACACATTTTGGAGCACTGCACAACTGCAAGTATTAACCAGTATATGTCACTTGATGAACTTTACATAAATCGTCAAAATTTAGCCTATCGTAGTGAAAAGTTTTGGACATTTTGCTCATCGCAAAACTTATTTTGGATCTATAGATGCTCTGTAGTGCAATCTGAGGCATTTCCTGGCCACTTTCCCCTGACTTTTTGAATGAAATGTATCCATGTTTTAGTGGGTGGGTCATCAAAGATGATAAATTACATCACAAGCATCACATCAAAACTGTAGCTTGACTCTCTTTCTAGATTTGTGCTCTTTAGCTTGATCCATGATTGTGTTTACAGGGAAAGGGCGTAATCATACATGTCGCCATGCACTACATGTTAAGTTAAATGGAATTTAACCATGAATTTTAGTTTTCCTCAGACTTGTACTTGTGTTTTCTTAAAAAGAAGTGGTTTTCTAGCTGAGAAAGTAGCAAGGAAGAACCGGTATTGTGCAAGCAAAATTCAGGGAATAATCCGTTGATACTAATATCTTGTTGGAAAATTCCAAAATCATTTCAAGAAAGTTGCCGCCGTGAATCAGAGTTTATGAAGGGACGGAAAGTGGGATTTGCTATCAGCATCAACAGGGCCGTTCCTCATTATTTACCTTTTATGGGATGTGAATCAAATTGGAGGACGAGAGGCTCTGCGGGCTGATGTATTTTTTAGAAAAACTTTTTTTTTGCAACCAGCTTGTAGGGAAGATTTCCGTTTATTTAAGACTTAATTCACCGGAATGGATACCAGTGTTTGTACATGATTGAACTGCCGAGCGTATTTTGTAAGTATTTTTTTTTCTAAAAAAATACATCAGCTTGCAGAGTCTCTCATCCTCCAATTGATTCACATCCCATCAGGTAAAGAATGACGAACGGTCTTGTTGATAGCAAATCCCACTTTCTGTCCCTTCATAAACTCTGATTCACGGCGGTAATTACTTTCTTTGAATGACTTTGGAATTTTCCAACAAGATATGAAATTCAACGGGTTATTCCCTGAATTTTGCTTGCACAAAACCGGTTCTTCCTTGCTATTTTCTCATTTAGAAAACCACTTCTTTTTAAGAAAACACAAGTACAAGTCTGAGGACAACTAAAATTCATGGTGGCGGCCAATGGCCATTCCGTTTAACCTAACATGTAGGCCTAGTGGCGACATGTATGATTACGCCCTTTCCAAAACAAAACAAAACACAAAAACATCACAAGAAAAATTTGGGGGAGGGCAACGGGGGCCAATGCCCCCCCCCCCCAAAAAAAATGGAACCCATTTTTTTCCTTCAGTGTCTTCGCAATAAAGGCAGGTACTGCATACACCACCATCTTTTCCTTAAAAAAATGGTTAAAGTGGTCAGAAATTGCCTCAGATCGCACCACAGAGCATTTAGAACCACCCCCCCAAAAAAAAATCCACCCTTGGGGCCATGCAAGGCCTTGTATACATTAAAAAAAAAAGATAGGCCTGTTATTATTGGTACGGCCATAGCCGTACCTGCCGTACCGCTTCCTACGGCCTTGCTATAAATGCAGCCTGTGTGGGTAAATTTTGTGAATTCGACATTTGCAAGTTCGTCTTGGCTTTAATCTAACTTAGCTAGGGCGGCTAAAGTGGGATCTTCAGCAGAAGGACTACCGATAACAGTTCAATAAATTCTAGCATTTCGTCATTAAACCATGAATCGTCCTGTTCATTAAACCATGAATCGTCCTGTGGCTTTACTGCCACTTTTAAATTTCTTATATTTATCTGGTTGAATATTTCTTAAATTAGAATTGCAGTTAACTTATAGTAATATGGCCTACAGTCCTAAAGTTTGAGCCAAAAAAAAAACAGCATAGAAATTTCAAACGCATGCAGTAAACTTTTCTTACTCTGAACAATGATGTAAGCTAGAAAATGACGAGGAAAACACCCCATATGGGACTAAAAGACCAAGTAAAAAATAATTTAGTTTCTTGCAGGTTTTTCTTTCATAAACCTAAAAGAAGACAAGCGTTTGTTTTCCAAGATGCCAGATTTTCCAAGATGGCATGTAGATTTTTCTGTGTTTTTGCTTCTTTTGCTAATGCAAATGGTGTCCAAAGTTGGATTTCAACAACGGTGTGCAGCATGATGCGGGGATGAGGTATGGATCGCATGTTCCAATGTTCCCCAGCTTGTTCACGTATCTCTCCTTGTCAGGCAAAGGAAGTTGTTCCACGTTTTCCGACAAAGAACTAGGTGGCCCAGAACTGGCACTGGCACTGGATAACTGACCATCGACCACGGCATCCATGCTGCAAGTGCAAGTGGTCAATATGATTGATTCGCGACACAAATTGGCACGTCGTACGGTACGATTCTTCTGCGAGTACGAACAAGCATCGGACGTGATGTATATCGTGCGTGCGCGATATGCTAGCAGACGATAATTTGACTCCCAAAATGGCGCCACCAAGATTTTGTGTAAAATGATGACGTCATGTGCATTGGGTTTATAGTCAAGTTTTTATAGCGATTGGTAATCGACACCCGCGGCGTGTTATAATAGAGCCGATCTAGTACACCTGGTACCCTGCTGCCTCTGCACGGCCTAACCGCTAGAAACGCCCGGCATCCAAGTCTACTAAAAAACCACCTCCCTCTCATGACACAGTGGGTCTATATACACGTACATGTACATGTACAGTACATGTACATGACGTACATGTACAGTACATACAGACGACCAAGTTAGAAAAGAAACACGCATCGCGATATCGGAACGCTTAATTGCGCCTTGTTCAGGCAAGTCAAAAGATCTATCTTTCTTTGTTTTTTTCTACCTTTTTCCATGGAAAGTGAATTTCGATTTTCAATTATTCAGCTTGACCCACCCACCCACAATTTGGAAAAAAGATCGAAATTTTAAAAAATTGAAAATTCTGAATGGCCCCTTATGAAATGTGACTGCATTATATTGTCTGGTAGAGATTGTAACATTTAAATTTTGGTGAAAAAAAAATCGTATTTCCGTAACTTACGCCATGCTCACGCCGCTACAAATTGATGTTTTTACCCTAGACACCACACAAAACAAACGCTGTTGTGAAACCTACATGTTCAAAAATTGTGGACATGCAAATGATCCTAGGGTGAGAGAGCTGTCAATGGTTTCAACCCAGGGGTGTCTTGAAAAAAAAATGTTTTCAAATGCACAAGACTGTTTATTAATTTAATTCTGTGTAATTTCGGGCCAAGCAAGTATTTCTTTCTCCTGTCACTCACTGTACCCTTCAAGTTCAATAAGTGACAATGTGTTTCCGATAATTCGTGGCGAAATCTCTTGCCAAGAATATCCAGACATGGGTGATAACATATCCCGTGCATATACATGTGGTCTTAATTCCAAGACTTATAGAGGTGCGAGGAAGCGCGAGGAAAGTAATCGAACGGCGGCGCTGCTCATGAATTTCAAAAATGCATCAGAATTGATCTCTTCATTATGCACCCTCAGTGGCGTAGCCACGGGGGGGGGGGGGGGGGGGGGGCGTAGGGGGGGGGGGGCGCGTAGGGGGCGACAGCCCCCCATGAAACCTTGTGCCCCCCAGTCGCCCCTCCCCTGAGATTTTGAGTTTCAAAAAAAATTATCATTGATCTACATGACGCCCCCATGAAATGTTCCAGCCCCCCCCCCTCAGCCCCCCCCCCCCCCCCCCCCCCCCCACTGAAAAATTCTTGGCTACGCCACTGTGCACCCTTATTCACAGGATTTAAGGTCCAATGTACCACTATATTAGTCTTTGTATTAGCCAATATTATATTTGTATAAGTTTCTGACAAAGATGAACATTAAGGCACCAATTAAAATAATTCTGGAAAAGACTTCAACAAATGTTACGTTTACTTATAATTGCATTTTTGCTTCCATTATAGAGACGGCAAAATGACGAGGCGAGTCGAAAATCGAATGCAGCGGGTACCTTCATCATTGCTGTTATACTGCATCTGTAAGCAGTCACAAAATAATAATAATCTTTTTTGCGGACTCATGATGTGATCTGGCTGCACTGCATAAATTGTAAATCTAAACTCAGTAATCCCAATATTATTACCAAATTACAGGTAACTTCAGTTTAAAAAGTCTAAAAGAGTATGGGGGTTGTATGGAAAATTCCAATGTGTTTAATAAAAGTGGCTGTGAATTACGGGCAAATACCTTTCGGGAAATCCTGACTACATCTGGGGGTGAAATCACTATACGGCAATGGTTTTCTTCTATAATGCCTCCAAACACAATTATGAAGGCAAATCTGGCGGTGTTTGACTTTGTTTGGTCCAAACTGAGAAAACTATTTGACTGGAGTTAATTTACTACATATTCAAATTACTAATCAAGAGCAATACAATGGTGTCAAAAAGAATTTCGGTTGACCTAGATTTCCTATCTATAGGAAATCTAGGTCAACCGAAATTCATTTCTGATTTTACTACATATAGCCTATAGGCTATATGTAGTAAAATCAGAAATGACGTCTCGTTCATTCTACTGGTTTAGGTACATTAGTCCAAGCGGTCACCGTTGAAGCCTTGTTCTTGGAACGAGGCCACCGTGGGATTGTGCCCTGTCCAATGAGCATATCTTGCAAAAAGCTGGTAAAAGACGTCGACGCGATGTACTGGTTCTATGGCTCACTAAGCGACACATTCCTGCTCATCTCATACTTCAAGGGAAGAGTGGCTCCCCAAAACGGGATCCCAGAGGGCGTCTATGATATCGACGATGAGTGCAATCTCATCATTGAGAACGTCACCGCCTCCAATGCGGGAACCTACTTCTATAAGCTGAAACCGCGTTTTAAAAGTACGACAGAGGGACAGATTGAAGTTCGTGACAAGGGTGAGTCCATTTTGTGAGTTTACCTTACTTGTTTGCTTCAATTGTTTCTTAGCATTTTGCAAATTCCTTTAAAATGTACAAAAACAAAAAAGAAGTTCAATTGTCTCACTGTCACTATAATATAAAAACTAAATTTGGAAGAATATTTATTGAGAAAATTCCGACATTTGGATCTGCACATTTCCCAATTTCATGGAGATTTTAAACAGCAACTATTTCTTAGCATATATACACGATACGTGCTAAACAAAGATGAGCTGGCAACCTGCAGTCACAAGCAATAATAATCACATGGCATGTTGGCAGGTAAATTTTTTGCCAAGGAAATATTTCCTGTGTTTAGGAAATTTCTGTGTAGCTTTATGACATTGGCCCCAGGTCGATTACAATAACGACGTCTGGTTCCTGTACTTTGTCTCGAGTCTCGGACAAGTTTTTACTCAATGTAACCCCCAATCTCTGAATCACACTTTGATTAACATACCTCAATCATTTAAAAAGAAAGGTGCCAAAATATAAGGAAATATCCTACTTTACTGTAAATAAATAACAGGATCAAACATCCTGTGAAATCAGTGGGCCTAGTATGCTGTCATTTTCGATGACATTCAACTTTACATAACCTTTAATCCCAACTTTCCAGGTGAAGCTGCTGTTCCTCTGCATAGGCTATTGAAATGCGTAGATGGCGTTCGACACTGGATGACTGCAAACAAGCTGAGACTAAACAAGGGCGGATCCAGGGGGGGGGGCCAAAGGGGGCCATGCCCCCCCCCCCCCCCAAAAAAAACGAAACCAATTTTTTTTTTTATGTAACATCGCAATAAAGGCAGGCAATGAGTACACCACCATCTTTTCCTCAAAAAAACATTGGTTTAAGTGGTCAGAAATTGCCTCAGATCGCACCACAGAGCATCTAGAATCCAAACATTTTTCGGGGCCCTTAAGCGGGCCCCGAACCCCACGCCGTAATTATTTTGACCCACTGTTTTGGGGGACCAAATTTTTTGTTGGCCCCCCCTAAAATTGTGTTCTGGATCCGCCCTTGAGACTAAACAGCTCCAAAACTGAGTTTTTCATATCTGCATCTCAAAACAATCTGCCAAAGCTCATCAATTACGCCTTCCCAATCGATAATGAGTATGTATCCCCATCACTTTCAGTGAGAAATCTAGAAGTAACATTCCACCAATCGATGACCATGTCCTCTCATGTTACATCTCTCTGTCAGTCAATCAATTTCCATCTACGCAACATCTCCACAATTCGTCGCTTCATCGACCAGGAAAGCTGTACTCATGCCATAAGGGCCCTGATTCTGTCTAGACTAGACTATGCCAACTCTCTTTGGGCCGGTTGCAGCAGCTCTGACATCTCAAGACTGCAGCGTCTACATGGCAGAGCTGCTCGTATCGTTTTCCAAGTTCCTCACCGACATCCCTCTGTTCCACTATTGCAATCTCTTCACTGGCTTCCGATCGAACAACGCTTTATTTTCAAAATCGTGTTATATGTATACAAGTCAATCAACGGTCTCACTCCCATATACTTTTCAAACAGCATTTCATCCTACAAACCTTCACAACCCGGATTACGCTCTGCCACAGACACAACCCGGCTCGTGGTGCCTAGGGGCCAAAGGATGGTTGCGGAGAGGTCATTCTCTATCTGTGCCCCTAGATTGTGGAATGATCTCTCATCAACCATCAGACTGGCTCCTAGCCCACAAACATTCAGAAGCCTCCTCAAAACACACCTGTTTGCCTAATGTCTTATGTGATTTACTCTTTCAATGTATCTGCTTAGTTTTCTTTGTTTTTGTTTGTAAAGCGCATTTGGAACTGCACTGTATAAGCACCGGTATTATTATCATTAAAAGAGGAATTCCCATCATTGACCCTATGGTTAGGACGAACCAATCTTGAAATGACAAACTGGGATCTTACCACAAGAAAATGCACTTTCAGTGTTTCCTGCAAAAGTTTATCTGAGCTGAAATAGTGGGCGGGCTAGTTTGTTGAATAACCTTCTTCAGATTTGTTGTATTGTTGTTCCTTACCAGTGAAAATACATATTTTTTGGCAAAATTAATGATTTCCATTACCCTTTACCAACAGTCTCCCCAAGTCGACCATATCCCACCGTCATCGACTGCAATCAGGACCATGATGCAGACATGTGCGAGGTGAGAGTACGACACGACAGCACGGTGTACAACCTGACCTGCATCATGGAGCAGGTCAAACCTGCCGTGGAATTGAAGTGGTTTTTGGGCGGGCTGACGGAATTCAAGGCCTCAACAGCAGACAGGCCTGTAGTTCTACCGGCTAACACAGGTAAGCAATGTTCTTCATAAGATCATGGAGGAATCGTGTAGTCACTGGCATCGCTGGAGGGGTTGTGAGGCCCCCTATAGTTTAGTTTTTTTGGTCGCCAAAATCGTTGTACTGTCGACAAAATTGTGTGTCCGTCAGTCGTGTGTCTGTTTCAAAATCGTCGACCTTGGAACATAACAGAGCCCCATACACAGTTATGATCGTTTCCGATGTTTTTTAGTTACCTGTTATTAAAACATACATGTATTATGTATCTATTGATCAGGTTTGTGGTTGAGGAACAACACCTATTCAACTTCAGCAACAATCCAAGTTCCTTCGGATGACAATGACATAGAATATGTATGTGAGGCAATGGGTGATGTTGCAGTAGGACGCAGTACTACACGCACGAGGGTGCGCCTTACCAAAACTAAACCCACAACGGCAACTTATGATGAAGTTCAGTCCTCCAGCAATCCAGGTAGGTTTCATTTCGCGGACTTAGTATGACTCAATATCTGGCTGCTTGGATTGTAAATCGTACATTGTGTAATTTCGATGTTATTGTGAAAGTTCTATACTGTTTTGATGTTGATTGGGAAATACCGATGTGGTTAAATAAAACCAGCTGCGATTACAAAAAAATAACTACATCATGGGAAGAAATCAGTGAACCACGCTTTGTGAACTACTGCAATTATGTTCACTTCATAATAATTATGTAACTGCATTCACACACCATCACGAGTGCGAATCTGGCGGTATTTTGATTCTCTTCATTGAGAAGAATTGTAATTCGACTTTTGTTTGCTTTAAATGACCGCTACTAATCACGAGTAATATAATGTTGACAAAAAGAATTTGATTTCAGCAAAATTGTGAAACCATCCAGGAATCATTTTGCTGGGCAAAAGGTCTTTGAATAGAAAAACATATAATAATTTCGCTTTCATTTGGTTAATAGTCCCTGGTGCTATTGCTTATGCGAACTCTAACGGAACGAGGCAGAGGGATCGTGCCTGTCACCTGAATGTATTGTGTGTACTAATGTGTCTCGAATCCCAGAGGAAAAGAACGTCAGATGTGACGTCAGATGGGGGTCTATTAGGTGATGGAACAATGAAACTCAGTGATTCGATCAAGTCAGATATCAATCGAATCAAGTCAGATGTTAATTAAATCAAGTTATATATCAAACGAATCAAGTCGGATATTGTGTCAGAGTGCCTTTTGACTCTTTTCAGGAACAACGCTTGCTTTGACAGACAGTATTCCAATTCCCAACAAACCCGTCGATTTGAGTGTGATATGGGCCGTGGTGGCTTCAATCGTATTCATCGGCTTTGTCGCTGCCTGTGTCTACATTGTAAGTACAGTGTGTATAATTGTAGATGTATTAAAAAAAGTCAGTGCTGGGACTGGGCAGGGGTTAGGAGCTTTGCTAAATATTTTGTCAACTGTGCATGAGGAGGGGTAGGGAGGACCAGCAGCTGAAAAAACAGTCGAAGGGGGAGGGGGCGAGGTGGAGTCTATCTCACTCAAAGGGGCGCTGTTCAAATATGTATCATCAACCATCATGCCCATGTAAAGGGTAATAAACTGCGATTATGTGTATTACATAGTTTTAAAAAGTTAAACTGCATTGGCTATAGTTTGGTTAACGTTGAGTATATGACGCTAAATGCTGCTGACGAGGACATGATGGGGTTTGCGTTGGTCCATTGGCGGCGCCAGACTCTAAAATGCGGGGGGGGGGGGGCAATTGGGGTCAGGAAATATTTTGGGGGCGGTCAATAAAAAGCCTGTGTATTCGCGCGCGTGCCCATTTAGTCCGTGGGACGAGAGGCCGAAAACGCTTTAGTTTTACGCGATCTGGTCCACCGAATTTTATAACTCTTTCTAGGCATGTAGATTATGATGTACCATATTTTAAGGGAAAAAAACCCATTCTTCCCCGATCCACAGTCTGTTTGGGAATGAGATAATCTGGGATAAAAAGGCCTAATGTTGCATGAAAAAAAACAAATAAGAAACAGCGCCCTCTATTGACACAGTCAGAAACCTTTTCGCACGCAATGAGCACTTGCCAGATAATACTTCTTTCAAGTTCCCTTTGAAGATCATTACAGATCAAACTCATCTAAGCTGTTGCCGAATGCAGCATTCAGAAATCGAATTCGTTGTTTGTAAATCAATTAGACGAATTACGTTTTATGACTAAAAGGGTTTATTGGCATAGACCAGACGAAATCGATACTACCCGCTAAGCCTAAACGTGAACTTCAAAATTGCTTGAACTGAATTTAATATTGTCACACAAAAGACAAAATTAAACGTTGGAAGTGTACTAAATCGATGGTAATGGGCGAATATGAATATTACAAACGGTGATTTTGAATGATAAACGTTTTAAAATAGCCAGGAAACGAAAATAATCTAATTTAATTCATTCATTTATTTATATATTCTTTTTGTTGGGGGATTTAAACCTGCACATTTGTTACCCACACAGGAAGCATGGTATTTATATTAGGCCAAAAAAAAAAAGGCTCCGGTTTCTGGTATGCGCGCGCGTCGCCGTAGCCATGCGCGTCGGCAAAATGAAAACTTTTTTTTTTTCAATGAAAGATGATGTCTCAAAACCGCCAAACTCACTGGTTTGACTGGAATCCTGCTGCTGCACAATTTTAACTGGTTTTTAGATTGGGTTATGGTCGAGAATAAGCTTTATGTGGCCTCTTTGGACTCCCATATATTTGCACTAAGTTTAGTCGGACACCATTTGCAGTCATCAGCCGACATTTGAAGCAAAAAATCAGGTAAAAAAAAAAAAAAAGCCACGTCGCCGCACCACTTTTTGGGCAAGCTCCATACCAGAAACCGGAGACCTTTTTTTTTTTTTTTGGCCTTACATAGTTTTTTTTTCAATCTGTACTGAATGAGCATTACTTGTTTATTTTTAACTAAACAAACGAGATTGTGAGCACATTTACACATTACAGGCCGGTTAGATAATTGTTGTATTATAACATGTCAAAAGTCTCATCAAATGGACCGACTTTTTTGTTTACAAACTTGTTTAAGAAGAGAAAATTAATGTATATTCCACTTTTTGGAAGCTGTGAGTGGCGTTACCACTGCAGTTTTTGTTTAAGCTGAAACCGTTTTACTGATTTTATTATTTTGAATATTGTTTTAAGAACCGATTCATTAATTTGTTGTTGCTCTGTCCATTCCGTGAAACCACAAATAACCCATCGGCCCTCCCACTTCCTTTTTGAGGCTGCATCAAATATGTATTACATTTTTAAGCGTCAGGAATAACATTTCTTTAACATGTTTCAGAAGTTCAGATGCTCCAGCAGATCACGACCACACACTTATATAATTTTTGAAAACATGTTTCCCCGAGATAAGATTTCAAAAAATTATTCTGATCTGTGGTGTAACCGTACCAGTCGATGTTCATCTAATACATAACAATGTAAACATTCAAATTAGGTTTTGGCCTTCACCGACGTGTAAACACTGTATACTCAGTGTGTTACCTCCCGAGCAAAAGTTGGGAAAAATCACTCAGGTGGGACTCGAACCCACGACCTCCTGCTTTCTAGTGCAGATGTCTTACCACTCGACCACCGAGCTAACGGGATCGGTTGGCTGGTTCGCATATGATGTACATAGCAGCGGGTACCGCATAAACTTTATAAGATGGAATTTTTGCAGCAGATTCGAACCGGCCAACCGATCCCGTTGTATCGAAGGCTGCACACAATCTAGGCTGTATATAAATGCATGTGTGGCGTGTTTTGTCTACCAAATTACGGTACCAATGTTTATAATGCTTCTATTGGCCCAAAATGTGTCCACAGTACCGATGATTCACTCTCTATCGTCAAGTTTTTATGAATTTTAACAGCAAAGGAAATCAACAATTAATATATATGTAAAAATGTTTGGGGAAAAATGTGGAGGCAAACGGGGGGGGGGGGGGGGGGGGGGGGAGGAAATTACTTGTGGTGCAACCCCCCCCCCCCCACCCCCCGGTGCCGCCACTGCGTTTTTATGCTTAAAAGAAAGGGAATTGTTTTCTAGTGAGATATTAATTTCATCTGGACCAGCGATGAGGACAGTCTCTTGACCTTCACTAACCACATCAATTCCTTCCACAGAACCATCAAATTCACATCGGAGTTCTCGGCTCACCAAACCCACTTTCTGGATGTCACCGTCCGCAAGCAAGGCAACTCACTAACCACTGACCTGTATTCCAAACCCACAGACACCCACCAGTACCTCCACTCCTCCAGCTGTCACCCCAGGCACTGCAAAACTGGCATAGCGTTTAGCCAGGCACTCAGACTCAGAAGAATTTGTTCTAATGATTCCGATTTCTCCCGCCATACACAGATACTGAGGAACAACTTGGTGGCCAGGGGTCACAGCTCTCGCCAAGTTCATCGTGCCATTGCCAGAGCTAAAGCTATCCCCAGAAATCAAGCTCTCACGGGAAAGGCCCCTGATGCCATGGCCAAACCCATGATTCCCTTGGTTACCACGTTTCACCCCAATCTCCCTCCCCTTCGCAAAATCACTAATGACAATCATCATATCCTCCATACTTCAGATCGCCTTGCCCGCGCCATCCCCAACGGCCCCACATTGGCTTACAGGCGTCCTCGAAATCTACGGGACTTGATTGTTCGAGCTGAAGTCCCATCCTTAGATGCATCCCCTCCCACCCAGCATGGTACTTTCAAGTGCAGTTCCAGATGTGTTGTCTGCCAGATTCATATCCAGGAGTCTGACTCCTTTTCTGGCCACTCTTCTGTCACCACCCACAGAACCATTGGTAACATCACTTGTAACACCCCTAATGTCATATATCTTATTTCTTGCAGGGTCTGTGGAGTGCAGTATGTAGGTGAGACTAAGAATACGCTCAAGAAGCGTTTCTATGCCCACCGGTCAACGGTCAACACCAAGAAACTAGACACCCCTGTTGGTCATCACTTCAACCTGCCTAACCACTCCATTTCTGATATGATTTTGCAGGGCATTGAATCTCTTGGCCATCGCAAGGACTCAGTTCGCCTCAGCAGAGAGAAAGTGTGGATGAATCGTCTTCGAACTATTCAACCACATGGTCTCAACATCCAACTTGGAAATGATTAATATTTTTCTTCCTCCATTGTCTTCTGTTACAGATAATCCACCTGGTCTTCATTGTTTGTGTTTCCCCATCTTTCCCCATCTTTCATCCCTTTCCACCTCCATACTGTTCCCCCCCCCCCCCCCCCCCCCCCCCCCCCGCATAATCCCCCTTCACTCCCACACTCTTTTGTCCGTTCCCACTCCCTGTGACCTTTGATCCTTCCCCTTTCTGGTCCCTCCCCTGTTCATACCAGACCCCTTGTGGTTTGCCATCTCCCTTTGTTTCTTTGTTCTCTCATCCACCCTCCCCTGCATCTTTCCACACCTTTCGCACCTAATCCTCCTTTTGTGTTTCTTCTTTCATCCCTGCATGTTTGTGTGCACCCCCATTTTAATGTATGTACCTCTGTCATTTCTGTTTTAGCCTCTGAAGAAGAACTTGCTAAGTTCGCAACGTCAGGCCACATTAATTTTTAGATTGAGATATTAATTGATCACAGTTCAAACCTGAACGTCTTGCATTCGGGTGACATGATCCACTGCTAATTATCCTAATTTAGCAATAATTTTTTTATTTGCATTGTAATGTTTGTCATTAAAACAGGTCTATCTAAAGAAGAAACAAAGGGAATTCATTCGTGCTGAAACCTGTGCCTATGAGCCTCCGGACCTCTCCATGACCTGTCTTTGGGCATTTACACCAGGTTGCCCTTTCTCTTGCTACAATTTTAGACAGAATGATTTCTAACCGTAATCACCCCAAGAAATATTCATGTTGTTATTTTTTCGTGGCATTCAACAAGAAAAAAAATTACAAATCTGTTGGAGATGAGGCATTTTACTCTACACATGAACAATACTAGTGCAAACTACCTCCATCGAGTTTAAACGGAGCCCATCACGTGAAGTCAATTCTGGTCAGGAGCCTGGAAGTAGAGGAGGGCAAGGCTGTTTTACTGGGAGTTCATGTAACATTTCTTTAGTTTTCTAATTTTGTGAATAGCTTAATTTATATCATAGTTTTTTACAGGTTAATTGGCTGAATCGCGCTGAATTTTTGTTTCAAAAATGTGAATTTTTGTTTTGGTGGAAAAGATAAAAATGTCAACAGCTGCGCAGGAATTTCTTAAAAGTTATGCATGACAAATTTAGAAATGTTCTATGCAAGTTGGAATTTTTCTACCTTCTTTGTGTATTTCATATATTTTTTTAAAAATAATTGTTTTTTTTAATTTTCAAAGCAGCTGAATGGACAAAATTAGCGCTGTCAACATGTCACCTCTTCGTCTGACCTACAGTTATGGGGTCAAATTAAGAAATGTTCTATGCAAGTTGGAATTTTCCTACCATCTTGGTGTATCTCATATATATTTTTAAAATAAATGTTTTTTGTCATACTATTATCAGCTAATTTTATACATGAACTGAAACAACTATAAAGTATAGACTTCTAAACAGTCCTGGTCGCAAAATTTATACTGAAATATAATTAGGTTTGCAAACGAAATATCTTATTACTTTTAAATAAAAAATAATTATTTTCTCAGAAATTTTGAATAATAGAAATAAGATTGTAAAAAGACATGTGGCAATTTTTCCTTAATTACTTTTCTTTCAAAATAATTCTATCATATATCTTAAGCAGCGACAACCAGGGGCGTAAATCCCGGGGGATGGAAGGTATGTATCCCCCCCCCCCCTTTACTTTTTGACCGGGGGATGGGCTATTGAATCATCCCCCCACTTTTTCGTGATGACAAAAGCAAAATGGGGATTTTGAGGTATTTTTTTAACATCCCAACAACCCAAATGTATTTGATAGCACTGAAAAGTGGAGGAACAAAGTACAAAAGCTTTTAAAATGCGCTTTTTTGATGTAAGCGCGAGTATACATGTTGATATCCTGAAGAGTGCCCCATAGTGTAATGTGGTGTCCGGCCCCCCCCCCCCCCTTCAAATTTCCACGAACTGGCAATTTTTGGATTTTGGTCATCCCCCTCCCCCCTCGATTTACGCCACTGGGGACAACAAAGTACATGTAGGTTGATACTCGATTTGTTACTTGACTATTGTTGTTTATATTCATTTTTTTCTGGTGCATTTACAGCATACAGGGTATTCTGGCAGTACTTCATATTTGCTTAAGAGAGCACACATTGGATTTTATACTGTACATTTTGATACATAAGTTCTGCACTTGATTTAAGCAGTGTATTATGGGCTTGTAGATATTTTTTATTAGGGGATTACGTGAGGAGAATAAAAACACAGCTGTTTCTAAACTTCACTTTTCGCTTTATTAATTTATTAAGTCGTACATGTATTTAACTACATTAAACCTGTCGCAACTGACATTGGGCAGCCAGGGGAGGGTGAGATTTTGAAAGGGAGCAAAATGACATTTATCGCGTTTTGGAAATAACCTTTTCAAATACAATGCTCTAATACCAAAATAGAAACTTTGCATCAAACAATACAAGAATCTTCCAGTACTTTCTTTGTTTATCTTGTAAAAACTGAGTAATACCAAATTTTCTAGAGTGGGATCTAATGGGGGCGGAGTTAGGGGGTCTTAACCCCCCCCCCCCCACCTTGCCACCCAAACAAAGAAGAAAATCATGCAGAAAATGGCAACAAATGCCTGCTAAATCCCCCTCTTGGAAACTTACACTCGGGTAAATGTGCCATTTATAAGCTTTTCCGACACAAGAATTTTAAATTAGCGGATTCATTTTTAAAGTTTCCTGTGAATTATTATTTTTTCTATCCTGCAGTTTTCATGGCAGTGGCATGCATATTTTATTAAAGGAAGATGGCTAGCTTTACTTTAGCCACCGTAATGTCGGGCTTAACAATTCAGAGCCTGTGTGAAAATTAAATAAATACTGATAAAGCTTGTCTATGAACCACACACAGCCAAATAGGTAAGCAGACATGCAGTCACGGCACTTGTAATAAAAAACAAGTCCATTACAAGTCACTCACTGGTCGCCAAGTCCGAATAGTCAACTCACAAGCTATTCCAATGAACTGTGTTAAAGTCATTTCATGGTATAATTCTACCCGTGCTACTTGAGACTGGACTTGTGAGGTACCCGCGATCCATCAGCTAGGAGAACCTTGACTGCAACACGGCAGGAAAGCCGGACGTCTCACTAAACAGTCTTAATCTGTTCATGTGATCGGTGATGGAAGACAAACGTGACTCGGTTGGTTTCAAGCGCCTGCTTCAGGACCACGTCTGGGATTCCCCGCTTGCTGGCGCAGTGGTTCCAGTGGGCCAGGTCACTGTTGCAGTCCGTGCCCGCTGGCGGCGGGCGTGCCTGGATGCTGTTGACACAGCGACGGCATTTGATCCTTTGAAAAAAAAAAAAAGTAGGACAAGTAGATTAGATTGATTTGCACAAGTGAACCATTAAGATGTCACCACACAGAGGCCAATGGACCTTTGTGCCTGTCCCTCAAGCAGAGTGCATAGACCAATCAGATCATGACTTTTGGTCAGGTGTATGCAAACAAACGGTGGGTGGGGCTTAGTGTCTTCAAATGGGCAGCAATGGCACTTAAGAGCCGGACTCTGACCCCGACTTGTAGTCACTGTTGAGGACGGGGCTTTCTTTAGTGACGGGAATGGTTATTGGGCACTGTTTAATGATGATCACCTCAATGTGGCAAATATTGACTGATTTTGAAGATTATACTTGAAACAATCAACAATCATGGAAAACTAAATATGGGGAGTTTCAGTCGTAAAAAATAAAAGTTAAAAAGCTGCTCCACCTCTCAACTAAAAGCCAGAAGCAAAATAAGAGCCGTCGGGAGCATCTGCTACGCGCCCGTTTAGATGACATTAAGGAATACAGCCGTATCATGACGTGGAGCTTTACCGCGACGTAAAAAAAAAAAAAGGCCTTTTTTGTTTACTGCCTCATTGACACAGTTTATGGCATTCCCAGCATTCTTGTGCTAGACTTGTGCCACCAACGATCACTTTTTTCATAAATGCGGGAGAGAGTTGCCACTTATTTGTTAACAGGTATAATAATGGACAAGTCCCATGAAAGAGGGACGCACAGGCGGTGGAGCACAGAATTCATGATCGTGAGGTTGTGAGTTCGAGCCCCATCGTGGACATGCGTGTTGTGCCCTTGAGTAAGGCACTTTACCTCAATTACCCCTCTCAACCCAGGTGTTAAATGGGTACCGGCATTATTCAATGCTGGGAAGGTAACAGACTCGCTGTGGAGGAGGTGTGGCGATCCCCCCACAGCAGCATATGAGTCTGGCCCAATCGCTAATGAAAGAGAGATGGGCACTCCGTTCCTGTGAACACAGGTTCGTCCCCTTTACTTTTACGATGAAAGAGCAATATTATGGTCAGGCAAAGTGACTGAGTTTTAACAAGATTTTGTTAATCCTACGTTGATGCAAGCTTCAAGCACTTACTTGTCATGCGTATCACTGATGGTGGACTCATTGAGAGGAAACAGGTCTCGTAGCTGATCCAGGGAGAAGTGCCTTTCCACATCCTCCTCATTGTCTACTACGCAGCTGGACAGAGCCTTCTTGTGGGCCTGACGCTGGAAAATCTTCTCTTCTATCGTTCCCGTCTGACAAATTACACCCAAAGAAGCAAAAATAAAAAAGAAGTCAGTCAGAGGTGCCCTTGATTCCAACAAAACTGCTAAAGCAATATGTGACCGGCTCCACAAAAAATTATGTCGCAAAAAAAAGTGAAATAGAGTTATATACATGGTTGGAAAGCCCACAATGTAAGCTTTCATTTAGAGCTCCATAGTCCCTCCCATTCTGAAGATATCATGTAATTGCATATTATTTACTTCCTTGGAGATAAATTACACAACTGAGAAAACAGGCTCTGAAATAGCTGACCTTGTTGTAGAACAACAGAATGATGCACACAAAACGGTTGTTTTTGACCACTTTGTTCAGCAAAATCAACATTTCTGTGAATGAAACCTGAAACTGTAGGTATTAAAGATGTCATTCATGACAAAAATGAAGATCATATTTTGACGAAATTGTCACCCTCTCAATGTTGAGCGGGCCATTACACAATAATGCTCAGCGCGACTTAATAGCCTTTTTTGTGGAGCCGGTCACATATACATGCTTGGCAAAAGTCAGCCAGGAACCATTCACAACCTTCTAAGGGCCCCTCTCAAATTTCCAGCAATGAAGTTATCAGTATTGGCGAGTCAAGCAGTTGCTACCAGCTCGACCTGTTTACTCACGGCCAGCAGCCGATAGATGAAGCACTCTTTCTTCTGTCCATCCCGCCAGACCCTTGCCATGGCCTGGTCATCGTTGGCCGGATTCCAGTCAGGGTCAAACATGACCAAGCGGTTGGCTCCGATCAGGTTCAGACCGCAGCCTCCCGCCTTGCTGCTAAGCATGAAGATGAACTCAGGACTCTGTGTAGATAAAAGGCAACAAAGGGAGGCTAAGTTATGGACCTATTAAACCAAAAAAAAATTTAAAAATTGGAACGCTACACATTTGCTGAGTACAGAAGACAATTGCTTCAAAGAAAAAATAGGTAAAAGGCACGTAGGAATGTTTGCAATTACCCAGAAATGTTCCCAGCAATAAACAGACAAAACCCTTGCTTAAAGTGAAAACAGGACTGGTATCAAAAACCCTGAAGAAAATTTTGGCTTGAAATGAATGAAGGTGGTTTAAGAAAATGTGCCTGTGGGCACAGTTATTTGCATGCGTTACCAACTAAATCTAGTTACGAGGCCTCAAAATCCGTGTATACATTTCCCCTTTTTAAAAATAAATATAACCACTCATTGAGCTGAAACTTGAGCTGAAACTTCAACAAGTTAAATATAATATATATAAATATTTTCCATGCTTCTCTACGATTTGACTAATTTTGTTGCTTCAAACAAAAAAATGCACAAAAAGGAAATGATCCTACGTATCCTTAGTGGGCAAAGTTTGGCCTTGAGAGTTTTGACCTGATGGATCTTGCTACACTGAGCAGGCTTGTCATCTTCACAAGCTTTGCGTGTTGCTGCGTTAAGCAGGGTTTCTAGTCCAAATACCCCAGGGTGTTAGGGTTAAACAGGCCTTACCGTGGGACTGTTGAATTTGTCAACTATCTTGGCCCGTTTCTTGATGGACATGCTGCCGTCCAGACGCACAAAGATGTAACCCCTGAGTCTGCAGAGCTGCTCAAACAGGTCCAGCGTCTGGGTGTAGTTGGACACCAAGACCACCTTGTCGCTGGTCGTGGTACGAGTTACCGCCAAGAGGTAGTCCAGCACTAGCATCTTGCCTGGACACAACATGGATGGCAAATCAAAGACGTCAAAATAGGAGATTATGTTAAGGGCATAGCTGACTAAAAGTGAACCCAGCTGGTTTCTGATTGTTGTTTATTCATTGAAAATGACCTTTAGAAATTTACGATGTGGATATTTTTTTATTTGTCTGTTACCCGATAGATCTGGTTGGAGCTTCCCCGGTCTGTAATTATCAGGAAATAGTTGGAGAGAATCTTCAAAGCCGCCGTCCCCGTCACGACACTTGTCATACACTAAGGCTGGATCTGCAAAAGAAATTGTGTGACGTCGTGATAAAATGCACTAAAATCTGGATAATAATAAAGCTTGTGTCCAAATGTCTATGTCCGGGTCCATCCAGTTACTAAAGAGAGGCAAGTGCGGGTGAAGTGGCTTGCCCAAGGCAGACTTGTATGACTCGTGACTCGGACTCGAGTCTGACTCGAGTCACATTTTTAATGACTCGGACTCGGACTCCAGTCACTCTGACTTACGACTCGGACTCGGACCCAGGGCTATGGACTCGGACTTGGACTCGAACTGACTTGTGACTCGACGGGAATTACTGCACTGCACATGCGCACATAGGCCTACGTAAGTCGATCGTTTTCTCTACTGTGCAATACATGTACAGGGCGCTCGATGCAGTGCATGCGTGGCCGTGGCCGGTTACCGATATATTGATTAAAGAAATCAATGTACCGAAACTTGTACCCCGCCGTCCGCACGTAATACTGCATTGGTGCAAGATTGATAGGGTAAGGTACCAGACTTTTCTTGTCAGACGTCCTGTCGGTCACACGTGTATTGCTGTCGCATCGCGATAACGCGATATGAAAAGTCTGCTGATCTGCACGGGTTTATTGGGTTATTTCACACTTAACAAAATATAGAAGTCTAAAAAACATATTTGAAACACCTGAACTTTAAATGCAAAAGTTAGGCCAATACCAGTTTTGTCCGAATTGCCTTTATAACTGTTTTTGCAAATGAACTCTTCATTTTCTGAAAAAAATTAGAGAAAAGCTGTGGGGAAAATGGAAATTTACAGCACCTGAAATGTACGTATTTCCAATACAATATCAAAGGTGACTCTGAATCTCTGAATTCCCTAAAATGTACGTTTTTCCAATACAATGTTAGACGTGACTCATGACTCGGACTTGGACTCGACCTGGAGGACTCGGGACTCAGACTCGAGAAATGTGACTCGGACTCGGACTTGGACTTGATGTTTCGTGACTCGAATACAAGTCTTGCCCAAGGACACAAGATGGGGCCAGCAGCTGGATTTAAACCCCTGTTCCTCCACCAACACTCCACCCCAACTTGTGATGTACTTGCAAGATTACAATACTGCTGAGCTCCACACTCCTGTGATCAATTCCTCCTTGTGAATTAGGAAGGATCTTGGGAGGGATAGGTTCAGGGAGTGACTTACGATTGCAGAGTTTCTTGAGTTGTGTGATTGCTGACAGCGACGATGCGGCGGGCTTGCCTTTGGAGGCTGCAGTGCACTCCCTCATCTTACTGTCAACGTACTGCTTGTAGAGGGCGTTTTGCAGGGGCGTCAAGTTGCAACACACAACCTGCTCGACTGTGAATTGAAAAAAAGGGCATCAATCCATTTTCTTTTTGGACTTTCAGATTCAGCCAATATATAGTGGCCTTTAAAGTCACGTTTTTTTTTAAATTTTATTTTCTTCAAATAGACTGCAAAGGGAAAGTGACTTGGTACATTATGATACGTAAATATTGAGCAAAGGAATTGATTGGAGCAGGCTTTGAACCCGTGACCTCCGGATTGCCATTCCACTGCTTTACAAACTGAGCTATCCAGCTCTATGTTGGCGGTTCCTCCACTTTATCAATGTCTTCGTTCAAAAGTGCTAGTCAGAAGCCATAAAGTATAATCATATGTGCCATGTAGCCAGGAATCACACTCAAAATCACGATGCTAGCAAAATTGGCAATGCTGCAAACCCGGGAAATAGCAAATGGGAATCAATCAACTCTATATATTAAATTTATTTTGGCAATAACTGTTTGACTTATCAAACCTTTTTTTTTTTTGATAAATGGTTTCCTTTATGTTTTACCCTTTCTACAATGTACTACATTTTCAAATGGACATTTAGTAACAAGGAGAGAGAAAGAAGTACTATGGAATTCAAAGGTCAACTCACTTTTGACTGGAAGATACTTTGTAAGGAGAGCAGCTGAAATGAAACCAAAAAAAAACACAATAAATTGTGGGATTGACCATGCTGAATGATGTATGGAAACACCTGGAATACTAGTGGAATGCATGTATCCATAACCAATTGCAACAGTTTTGTATCAAACTCTGCTCCCAAACCCGACCAACCCAACCCCAATACCTCCCCCCCCCAAAAAAAAGATTAAAACTTCATTTCTTACAACACCCGTTAACTATGTGAACCTGTCAATCTTTGTCAATATTCCAAATCTGTTACCTACTTGAAAATAAGTTAAATCAATTTGCCAAAAAAAGGTCATAGCTCAAACTTTGTACTTGGAACTCACATGTCCGTCTGATGATGCACTTGTTAACCAATGCTGCAAGCTATTTGCATGAAAATTAAAAAAAAAATGAACAAGAAACATACATAAACAATTCATAGGCACTATAGACCAATCTTAGTCCGCTGTCACTGTACCCTCACGAAGGCCCCCTTCAATGATGAAAGCATCGTAACTAAACACCCTGTGAAACTATTCTGCATGGTTTGCTGTCATTTGGAAGCAATCACGAAGTGTTGATGATTTCCAATGATTATGGCGACCATAGCACTCTGTATTTCGAAAAATCAGTCAAAGGGAGACAATTTAGACATTGGTGGCAACAAACAGACCGGTCCTTTTCAATTGTTTACGTCACATTAAGCTATTAAGTGCGCCTGCTCAGTATGACATAAACAATGGAAAAAGGACCGGTCTGTTTGCTGCCACCAGCATCTCAAAAGTCTCCCATTAACTGATTTTTTTGAAATACAGAGTGCTATGGTCAAAATAGTGTTTCCTGATGAAAAGGATGTGGTTGGTTTTGAACTGTTTTCTCGAAAAAGTGTAATATTCACTGAGCTGAAACTTTAAGATTAGTTGTTAAACGTTCTTCTTTGGATTTTTGAGTATTGTTATTATTGGAAACAAACAAAATGCATGAAAAGCAAATGATTCTATATGCATTTAAATCTGTGGAAGCGTATACAGCCTTATCAGGACTTGGCATGTCGTACCTCCAGCAGTTTTTCTTGCCCCTTCTGTTTGTCCTTATCAGTGCAGCTGGCATCTCGTCCTCTCAGGATAGGCAGCTCAAACTTCCTCTTAAACTCGGACGCCGTCCCTGCAAAAAGAAGACACTTCATAAGGAACATTCACCATTGGACCTATCACTACAGGAGTGGATCAAGAGGGTTTTGCGTCAAGACACACCCCCCCCCCCCCAATCTGTAGATACTCCGCTGATCTGACCCCGGACTATCAGGTTTTATAGGGATTCCTTGTCAGACCCTATTCTGGAGTCACTTGGGTTGATGTAAGCATCTTAGATCGTTGAGTGATGTTAGAGTAGAAATCAAGTATCCAGAAAAAAAACCTAGGGTGCCATTTATTTCCTTCCAGGAGGAGGGCCGTGTATTTTTCAAATAATTTAGTATTTGACTATTTAATCAACTGCAATTTTTTTTTACTCCAGTTTTTGTTGTTGTTTTTTTGTTGACACCACTACAGAGGCAAAAAGTATGGGAACCAAAAAAGTAACAAGGGACGCCATTATACAAAGACAACAGTTTTTAGGTTTTTCATTTCCTTTGAAAACTACAGAACAACACATGGTTCATCTGCTATAAAAGAAGTCAAAGCCAGAAACGATGTCATAGTTTCAGAAAAGGCCAACGTCATAACACAAAAATCTAAAAATCACTAAACAACCATATACTCCTTCTCTGACATCGCAAACATCTTTGGCAAGTCTGTCCAAAAAAACCTGACTCCAAAATCTTACCCAGGATTCCCCGGTTGACAAAATGGACGAGGCTGAAGTACTCCAGCAGGTCATTCTGGATGGGAGTACCGGATAAGAGGACGCGTCGCTTGGCATTCATGGCGTTCAGTGCCTGGTAGGTCTGGTTCTCTGAGTTCTTCAATCGATGACCCTTGAAAATGAAACTTTTAGTCATTTTCAGTCATGCATGGGCACTGTTTGTCCTTCCTTAACCCTAATCCTCCAAAACCCTCCTGCCGCGGTTTTGGATGATTTTAGAGGATTGAGGATGAATGGCAAAGATGTATTGCTTGTGGAGGATGCATTGTGTCAAGCCAGCAGGCCATATCCTGCATTGGTTATGTTCAGCCATGCATAAATCATTCCTGCGTTTTTCTCATATTTCATCCGCACTGCTTCTAAATGCTATTCGCACTGCCTCAAACCATAGCAGTAATTGGCAGAGGATTTTGGAGGAATGAGGCAGTGGTCACCCTCCACAGACTAAATTCAAGAAAATAACGGATAATTTTGGAGGATTTAGGTTGAATCCAATTTTTTCTTGGTGGCACAATTGGAGGATTTTGCAGGATTGAGGATTGAGCATCCTAGCCAGAGGGTCTATAGGGAGTTAGGGTTAAGCCTTTCGCTCTTAGACATCAATTTAAATAGATGGTGTGGGCCAACCCTCCCTCTCTGCCCGGCAAATTCAGCTATGCCATCACAGCAGTCAAAATCAATCAAGTGACTGTTTTGAATCCCCAGGTTAATTTGATATAGCCATGCTTTGACTGGAGGTGATTGATATGCCAGCTGTACCTACCATTTACCTCTTTTGTCTATTGATGGAATTTGACTAGTCACAGTGTTTACTGATTTTTTTTTCAATAACCTGTATTCAAATGCATGGCAAGGGAAGTGGAAGAAAATGTTCACTTTAAATTAAGGACATGCCTCTTTCCCATGTAGAAACCTCTCCTTCCTTATACTTTCCAAAGATTATGATTATTTTCTTCCTTTTTCCTGTTAGTTCTTCCATCTCAGTGCCAATTGACTTTGCACAATTGTTCTAGTTTAAACAGTAGACCATCAATTTCTACCTTTTACCCTTGACTACACGCAGACGCCTCCATATGATCATACATTAAAAAAAAATGGCCAAAAAAAAAAAATTCCCTACCTACCTACCCTATTTTTGAATGCCATGTAATCGGAAGCAGAACTATATTTTGTTTGGCCTAATTGATCATATAATTTGTGTCCAAATTGAATACTTTTACAACCAAATGCTTGGAATGCATTGGAATGGCAGTATACATTACAGCGGTGATCTACTATAGTTTAAATTTTGAATCAGTCTTTCGTTGTGGATGTTGGCTGTTACCTCATCACATATGACGAGCCCCACGGAGCCTCTGTGCAGGGTCTCGGCGTGCAGACGGAATGTCTCGTAGGATATGATGAGAATGGGGTTGAGTATGCGACGACCTTTTTGAGTCAAAAACGATTCTGCAAGGAGAGAAAATCAATGCACTGGTAAGAATTCTCAGTGAAAAACAAAATCAGATAACAAAGCAATTTTTAGTTCTAGTATATTCTATGTACTTGAACTAACATTCAAGGGGTACATGTATTTAAAGTCCAATTACAAGTGACTGTGATTGCCGACCACTTTCCTAAACTCTGAAAAATCTTCTCAAAGTGGATTAAGGGATCTACAAGAATTATGGTTCAGGGGTGTGAGTGACCACTGATAAAAATAGCTGAAAACAGCTGAAAAAGGTGCAAAAAAGCTGAACTTTGGAAATCTTTGGAAAACTTTGGTACACAGCAAGTGAGGGAAAAAAGCTGAAATCCAAAACAAAAAAAGCTGAAATCAGCTTTAAAGCTGAGATTTCACACCCCTGATGGTTAGAGGCATACAGGATCATTTGCTTTTCATGCATTTTGTTTGTTTCCAATAATAACACCACTCTACATGCTCTAAATCCAAAGAAGAATGTTCGCAACCTAACCTGGTGAAGTTTCGGCCTAGTGGAAATAACACGTTTCGAGGAAACAGTGAAAAACCATGCACAACCTTTTGACCATGAAACACCATTTTGTCAATAGCATTCTTTACTTCCAGAAATTAGTCAACTGACTAATTGTTGCAAATCACCTATTTCTTGATTTCTTTTAAATCACAGCAACTTCAAGTTTTCTTTAAAAAAGCCCACACTTTTAGGCAACATTTGCGATTCATTTCAGTTTCAGCCAGTCTTTTTGTAAGAATGGATTTCCTCAACTCACCAAGGTTTGCGTCAATCTCTTTCTTGGAGCCTGAGTCAATGGCCAAGGCGTTGAGCTTACTGCCCAGCCACTTGCTGATCTCATTGTGCCAATTCTACAAAGGAACAAAGAAATAAAGGAAGGCTTTAAGGTTTCAGGAGAGAATTTCCATGGTCATTCTGAAGAAACTTATAGGCCACGTTATCAGCAGGCAAAACAAACATGGGACCCCCATCCATACCTTGACGAGACTGGACGGAGCAACTATCACAACCTTGTCCAGTTCTGGCTTGGCTGTAAAACGACACAAAGACAAATGATGAGCGCTGGTGTCTATGGGAATTTTAATACAGGGGTGCATCGCCAAACAACAATTATTGAAAGACTACAGAAATTAAGAATGAGTTTTGGAAGCATGCTTACCATCTGGGCTTTGCTTCAGCAGCGTCCAGATGAGAGTAATGCACTGGAGAGTCTTACCAAGGCCCTGAAACAATGTGGGAATAATAATGTAAGAAAAACCACCAGGCACAAGTTGGTACAGTGGTACAAATGTGACATGTTGAATCTCTGAAAATGTGGTGTTTGAGGATTGGCAACACAACATTTATTACTGGAAATTGAAGAAAAAAAAGTCCTGACCATTTCATCAGCCATGATGCAACCAAAGCTGTCGTCGATACGTCTGCCTGTCACACAATCCCACAGAAACTTAACACCCTGGGAACAAACGCACAAAATTAGGAAAACTTAGTTAACGACTTGCTAAAACATTAAAACGTTTTCTACCACACATTTATATTAAAAATCCAACTCAAACTTGTATTAAGCTCAGATGGATAGTTAATAGTTTTTACAAAACAATGTTTACAATTGTGTGATGTTTGAAATTCATGAACACAGAGTAAAGTGGCTGTTCCAAGAACCGACTTACCTCCCTCTGGTGAGGACGAAGAACTTTGGAGAGTAAAGGGTCAACAACAACTAAAATGAAAGCAAATATTTTTAAGTAATGTCAACAATAAAAAACTCATCCATTCATTGACGATAAAATGCTTTAAAAACGACAGAAAATGTTTAACTGAAAAAGGAATTAGTTTTATTAATTAGCTTAGAATTTTTCACAGACTGTTTTCCAATTTAGACTGCAATGACTCTTCCACTGTGCAAGAGTTACTAATCGAAAGAAATATTGGTTCTTTATTCTACTCACCGTGGACTTCCATTTTTTCTCTGTAACAGAAGAAACAAAATTTTAATTAATAAAAACAAGTTCTCAATTCATTTTTTCTTCTCGTCATGGCTGAATTCCAATGTATGTGCACTGAACATGGAAGGATACTCTTAAGAATGTTTAGTAGAAGGGAGATTATTACCAACACTTGTTTCTTTGGCTAGTGCAGCTGGATGTAAGTTAGTGTTGGGCCACGACTTTGTTGTGTTTGATGTACGCAATCACCTACCGCAAGAAGGCCTTATCACAATGAATCACTGTCATCCACGAACCGCTATCACAACAACGTCTGAGGAAGTCTTGTAAAATCTCCCCCTGAAATATGGGGGAAGGCAGTGCACGGGGAAAGCATTGCACATGCCACATCTGCAGGCAAATATGGTCCGTTTTTTTACTCATGCCTACTACACAAGAGCAGCCCTGAATTTGCACAAAAGTCTGGTAGCATCTTGTACGCTTACTGGCTGAAGTTGCAGAATTTGGTTCGGAGCTAACAGGCAAGGTGTTGAATGCGCGCTGAATACATTCAAGATTCCCAAGATTCCCAAGATGTTGAGGTACATTTTGACAACGCCCTCTTTTGGAAGGATAACACATATCTGACATATACTAAGACAATGACGACGTCTTGACCAAAAAAGACTAGATGCGAGTGGACCTTTGGATAAAATGGAGTAAGAAGAGCAAAGATCAAACCTGTCTATTGTCAGCTGCTCCTGAGCCGAGACCTGCTCGGGTGCATACAGCACGAGGGCGCCCTCCTCAAAGGGGTCATGGAGGGGCTGCCGCAAACCCTGGCGTCGGATACCGAGACCTCTTGAGGCAAGTGTGGGTCCTACATGCGGGGAGTGAAGAGGAAAATCTAATGAATGAATTCATCAGTGGCTTCTGAAGACCGGTATTCCCCTCCCCACCCCTCTGCTTTGAACTACAAAATTAAAGAAACCTTGACTGTGGACTCCATACGCAAATAAGAGTGGGCACTTTTGAGATCCCAGTGGATGGAGCACATGCACTGCATGCTCATACTGGAGGGCGCGTGTACAGCCCAAAGTACCTACATCTAATTTTATTCTGACTGTGCAAAAGAGGTTGTAGCATCTTCTTGTGAGCATCAAGCGTCGTTGGCAATGTGTTTGAATGTCTCTCCCAGTGGTCTCCCCACAACTCTCCTTTTCTCACTGTGGAGCAGTGTGGAGGGGGGTACTTGTACACGGAGCCCATAACGATTGCAACAAGCAGGGTCTAGATTTCTGTGGTTACGTGGAATGGAACGGAGCACCAATGTAGGTAATTCTGTAGGTTGTGGGTTCGGGTCCAGCCTATGGGGTTCTGGTGCATATGTGTGTCTCTAGTTCTGGGCAGGACATTTTGCCATTGTAAAATCCACACCTTTGAGGACGAACATGTTTAGTTACTTATTTCAGCTGATTTAACTTTAGCTGTATACTCCGCAGTGAGCTGAGCTTGTTTTCAGATGGTTTTATGGGTCCAGTGACAAAGGGCAGTAGTGATGTACATTGTAGCAGCACCAGTACTGGTGAATATGTGTGCTTCACAAAAGCACATTATTATTTACAAATAACGTTGTTAATTACTCCAGCAATTTGATGGATTGATACATTGTGAGCTGAACTACTTACCTTTGTAGTTGGGAATTGGGACCTTGAAGGGTCGGGAGAGGATACTCCTGATCATATCCTCCTAGAAAATGACAACAACAACAAAAATCAGTGATAAGTTAATACAACCCAAACATAAAACCTACAAAATGCCCTAAGCACAAGAAGGTAACAACGAAAATTCTTGAACAAATACAAATATGAAGTCTTTACCCATTAGGACTTTTTATTTTGATTTTAGACATGGCTATTGCTGCTACCAGAGGGCCAGCCTAGTACAATGGTAGCACCTGACTCACTGGCCGACTGTCACTTGTCACTTGGACATTCTTAAGTCTAATCTTGGCCACAAAATTGACTAAGATGACTAGTAGGATGCACTTGGGTGAACTGTGGATATGACTAGCCAATATTAACAGCTCTCTTCAGTTACACTGCAAGCGCAGGTGGTGGGGTAAACAACGTATATGATAAACTTTAAATGCTCTACTTGTATATGCAACGCAATAGGGTGTCCATGAATACGATAGCTTTTGCTGATCTCTTTTTTTTACCAATCTTGAACAATGGGGGGGGGGAACTAAACATCCTTACTCGCAGCTCAGAAGCTAAAATTCAAAGGATGTGGCTACAACGTGGCCGATCGATCCGAAGGCATGTAAAGGCGCCTTAGGCTGCCGCCATATGACCCATGTCCGACCACAGAGCACAGCCAGAGATCGAAAGTGTTGATTTTTCCGGAGGGAGGACAACCGGAGAACCCGGAGAAAAACCCTCGCGGCACAGGAGAGAATCAAATGAACAACTCTTCTCACATATGGTCCGAGCTGGGAATCGAACCCGGGCCACAGTGGTGAGAGGCGAGCACTTTATGCACTAGCCTGACTGACTGACTGATAGATTGACTGACTGACTCCCCTACAACGACTTCGACTGGTATTAGACTGGTGGATAGAGCTAGGCAGTGATTACCCTGTAATGCATATAAATTGCTAAATCCAGCTTACTATGAAAACCAGATACGCGAAAAACTTCCAGTGAATAGCCCTCCAGAATCAATTGAAAAAAAAAAATGTCTTGCTTTTATTTTTCCCCAAAAAGTATTTGTTAAGCTGTCATCCATGGGGCAACTGGTGGCTCTTAAACTGGAAAAAAATATGAAGAAAGTAATTTTACAGCAGCTTTTTAAAACTACATACATGAGAAGATCTTGCAGGGCTGGCACCAGCATTGTTCAGCATGTTCAGCGGTCTTCGCATGATGGACGTGAACCCCGGACCGGGCGATGGCTTCTGGGATGCTCCATCTGAGAGCTTGGACTTCTTACGAGGCCCCGTCTGTTAATAAAATAATAAAAAAATAGATTCATAACTGATGAGATGAGACTGTCAAGAAATGGGCTACATGAACAGAAATTTCACAAGTACTGCATTGAAATATTTAATAGATACCATTCTGTATCTTACAAACTTAATTCAAAGACAGAAATTTGCTAAGACAGAAATGAAAGCCTTCTGTTTGTTAACAAATCAAACATTCAAAGATGGGTGTCATGCATACATTTTTTTAACCCATTTGACGTTTGACAAACCAGCAGCTGTTGTATATTTTTTTTGGTAATAATGTGCCTTTTACAATGAACAAGCTTCGAAACTTTTTTGGTTACATTAGTTAAGTACTAGAGGTTGGGTGCTATTGGGTTTTTTGGTTTTTTTTTTTTATTTTACTAAACTGAGTGGTGAGCTATAAGTATCCAGCAGCATTTTAAACTTTACTTGCCTTGGTCAAGGCGTTCAATGATAGTGTCTGATGATGATCGATGGTCGGTCGCTAGCGCTAACATAAGCAGTAGCTGCGCAAAATGCACTCACTACTTTTCCATCGATAATCAGAAACTATCGTTGAATGCCTTGACCAAGCCTACATACAGCTCCACCAGACTGTTCTTCCAAAATGGTGTCTCTCTAGACCTTGCAGTTGGACCATTTTGCAAAACATTTCGTCAGCTTCTCAGACTGTAAATGTCAGACATTTAAGCTGATTTTGTTTTGCCTAATTGGTGTCTACATGTGTAGGCCTACCTTGTTATAAGCAGTATCATCCCCCTGCGCATGTTCAGCAGCACTCTTTCTTTTGCCGTTGTGTCGGTCAGTCTGAGCTAGACGACTGGGTGCCAGGCTTCTCAACTGGTCATGATGGGATTCGTAAACAAAAAGACAAAAATTGATAAATTTTAACGATCTCTGACGAAAGAAATCGTATTTTTAGACTTTTATACCGTGTATAAAGCTGTGGAAATAGTCAATGAGTCCAAGTGGCGGCCATTTTGAAAAAAGCTGGTTACCATCTTGAAAAATAGCCCGGCCGCGTTGTCTTGAAAAATGTGTCGGGCGGCCATTTTGAAAAGAAAAAAAAAAAAAAAAGGGCCTCCTCCTTCCTTTTTGTCAAAGAGGCAGGACGCTAAACATGTTTTTTTTTTATTTTGCCTAAGTAGGCTATATTCTTTTATTTATCAAATTTTTTAACATAATTTAAAAAAAAAAGAAGAATGTCATGAATATCTTGCAGTTGATGCCACTGTCGCTGTCACGCCCCAACTATCGCATCGGTCCCAACTATAGTTGGGACTGTCCCAACTATAGTGCGGCAGTTGGGTCGGCCCAACTATAGTTAGGACTGGAGTTGCGCCGGATGCTTCATGCTTGATAGATCTTGTTGGATTAAATGTTCCGCGGCGCTGGCACCGTGTATTCGTCGTGCATGCATGCCGCAAGGCTGGCCGGTCACGTGGTACTGCCTAGTTGGATGAGTTGTCCAGCTGCTGGGTTGATTGTCCAGCAACATTTTGCAAAATTCAAAGATTGCCATGGCCGGCCAACTATAGATGGGCCCCACCCATAGCTAATGTCAAAGGTCCCAAGTAAAGTCGGACAGTATGTAACAGAGCTGTATGGAATGTTTTACAGTCGTCGTACATCAATGTAAACTATAGTTGGGACCGCCAAATAAAAATATTGCGGTGGCCCAACTACAGATGGTCCCCACCCATAGATAATTTCATTGGTCCCAAGTAAAGTCAGATGTGTATTAGAGTTGTAGGGAATGTTTTATAATCGTACAACAATGTACACTATAGTTGGGACCGCAAAATAAAAAGATTGGAGTGGCCCAACTATAGATTCGCCCCCTCAATAACTAATTTCAGTGGTCCCCAGTAAAGTCAGACGTGTATCAGAGCTGTAGGGAACGTTTTACAGTTGTACTTCAATGTAAACTATAGTTGGGACCCCGCAAAATAAAAAGATCGGAGTGGCCCAACTATAGATGGGCCAGCCCAACAGTGGAACTTACAGTTGGGACCGTCCCAACTATAGTTGGTACAGGCCCAACTATAGTTGGGCCAGCCCAACTGTGGAACTACAGTTGGGACAGGCCCAACTATAGTTGGGACAGGCCCAACTATAGTTGGGACCGATGCGATAGTTGGGGCGTGACATCATCATGGTCATGGCAAAAAAATTCAAAGTAATTTTCTGCTTATGGCTAGACTTAGTCACGTCATGTTTCACAAATTTGTGATTTTTTTTTATGGAGGCCGGGGAGGGGTGGGGGAAACATTTGCTATGTATAGCATGAGTAACTCCTGCTGACATGCTTATCAGGAATTCACACGTGTAAACATGTTAGGCCTAGTACATGTACATGTGAATTCCTGATGAGCATATGTCAGCGACTCAACGAGAGTTACTCAAGACTGATGCATGATGACAGGTAGCTGGAGTTACCCAGCCCCCACTAAATGACAACCCAATGATACAATTTAGGGCTGGGTTACTCCTAGAACTATGAGGCTCCGCGTATCACGCGGAGCCTCATAGTTCTAGGAGTAGGGCTGGGTAACTCCAGCTAGATGACAGGGACATAATTTCACAGAATCTCAAACTCAAAGTGCAAGTTGTAATATTGTGAATGTACTGTAATACAGAATTTATAAAAACTTACAACTTACGAACAAACCTTACCATTTCAGATTATTAGAGCTGGAGAAAGTCTCTTGTAATCAGTCACGAATCTTGTGTAGGCATAGACTAGTACAAATGTAATAGAGTTACTCAAGCTAAACTCGCACTTCTTCAGACTCAGTGACTGTTGTTATTCAAGCATGATCGAGGATGAAATGATTCAACTTCAAGCCTAACTGTACATTCGTCCCAGCCAGCATTTTCGACCTTTTGTGAAACGTAAACGATACAACAAAAGCCTTTCAATTACCGGCAGCTATCTATAAACATGACCTTACATGAATATCAATGGCCACTGCAAGAAAAACAGGACATTTGGAAATAATGGAAGCATTTATTCACCGCGCGTATTGCAAATGTCCCGCACAAAACAGTCGGCACAAACCGAAACACCGCCCTCTATCGACAAGCAGACGGATTGTATTGTAGGGAAGTTGCGTCAATCAAAGTTTCGAAAAAGTGTCCGCAGTCCGCCAACCTCCGGCTCCAATCCCATGGTGATTTAACTCTCTTTCCCTTATTCGTTTGGGAACAGAAAAATCAGTGCAAACAATGCAAAAACCTACCTTTGAGTTGTCCAAGCCAAGCGATGGAGACAATTCCGTCCAGTGATTCGCACCATGATTGTCAAACTGGAAGCTAGGCCTGATTTCATGTTCGTCCCTGTGGTCCGTGCTGTAACCCACTATAATGACTCTATAGCTCAGAATAGCTGATTCAACTTGACTCCAAACTCAAAAATGATGTTTAAAAGATGATCTTTTGCAAAACAAAATTGGTTTTGGTGGTCAGAAATTGCCTCAGATTGCAACACAGATCGTCTAGAATCCAAAAATGTTCGGGGCCGACCCCTTGCCGTTAGGACTTCGCACTTATTTGCGCTCGCATACAGCTTGTTCAAAGTTATGACCCCCCCCCCCACTTTTGCCGGAGAAGCGATTGACGCCCTTCATTATATTATAAAGGAAGTCAATACATATAGCAGGAGGTAAAAGTGGCTATTTTTAGCCAGGTTCAGTTTGTTCAAGGATAAGCATGGCCGGAAAAAAAACAGTTCGGCCATTATTTTGTTTGCCAACTTCCTCTTTCTCCAAAGAAAGAAATCTCGTTGTGTGCTCAGAAGAAACATCACGGCACTCGTTCATTGTGCTTCCTTATCAGTCGTTTACGTACGGAACCCTTCCGCTTAGTTTCAATACAACGATTTACAATGTACATGGAAGGATCTTCTTTTTTTTAAAGGAATTATTTTTTCCTTTATTTCAAATTCGTTTTTTTTTTTCAAGCTCGTCGTTCCATGACATGCAGCATTAAAAAACCCACTTCAATAAGCAATTAACAAAGTTCCTTGTCAATCGTACACGGAAATCTTCCTCTTTATTTTAAAATAACGATGAACCCAAGTTACACAAACATTTTCCTGTCGCAGCCTAAATAGGCATACGCCTCCCGCCCGAACTCGTAGCCACAAAAACCAGATTCCGACAAAGCCACAAACAGACTTATAAGCTTGTGCGAAGTGGTCCTGTGATCTGAATAAAACGGTTACACCTATATTCCGACACCCCTTTGTTCTGACTGCACATAGTCTTATTCTTATCCCTAACCGGAAGTAACAAAATCTTATGTGCGCGGTTAAAAATGTCCGTAAATTTACGGACTCTGTAAAGTGAAATATTCCGTATTTTTGGCCGTAATTTTACGGATTTTCCGTAAATGCAAATATTAATTATGCTAATTAGCGTGATTACAATCAACCACATTTGCCCAAACACCTTCACATAATAAAGTACATCTAAGTACATACAACCGTGTACACATGTCCAGACTCGTGTTAAGGGTCTCTTCATTTTACGGAATAAAAACTTTTCCGGAAATTTTGCTGCAGGAATACGGAACGCTATTTTTTTTGCTGGCAGCAAAATTTACGGAACAAAGTTTTCATTCCATAAAATAAAGAGACCCTTAACATGAGTTTGGACATGTGTACACGGTTGTGGATGAAATAACAATATGTACTTAGATGTACTTTATTATGTGTGTTTGTGCCGATGTGGTTGATTGTAATCACGCTAATTAGCATAATTAATATTTCCATTTACGGAAAGTCCGTAAAATTACAGCAAAAATATGGAATATTTCAGTTTACGGAGTCCGTAAATTTACGGACATTTTTAACAGTGCGGGGTGTCGGAACGAAGGGTGTCGGAACCTCGAGCAGTCACCCATACTTGTTTGCAGTTCTTTATCAATTAATTCGCTTAATTTCGTGTTTTGGGGTTTTCTTAGTGACCACGTTGGATTCGCCAGTTTTTGCACATGATCAATGTTTGTAAGGCAAAGCATGACAAATACAACTGAACTCTTCAGTAGAGTTACAAATTCTACAAAGTGCGCTTTATTCACCTTCAAAGTTTCAAATTATTTTACGCGTAAAAATAAATTGATACATTTTCTTGTTTACGTTTAATTGTGAAGGCACATTTGGCTACATTAAATGCGCCATATCTGATTAAAATAAAATGGAATAAAAGGTACTTACCAATTTGATGCATTTATTTTTATTTGCTTAGTTTATACGTTTTAACATTGTATCCTGATTATAACAAAGGTACGTCAAGATAACTTTCATTATTCTATAAAAGGAAGTTCGCTGCTGTTTAAATTCCTAATAATTTACATAAGAAAACGGAGTGTGCTAAATAATTACTCTTGGTTAATAATTCTAAAAGTGCGATCACCTCGGATGAGGCTAAACTGTATACATACTGTTTACACATATTTATGAAGTGTTATAAAGGGAATACTGCCACGCACCCTCGACAGGAAAAATCATCTTTATGGCCAGAAGTATCGTCAATTAAAAAAAAACACGAATCACGAAAACACGAATCACGATAGCGTGATTCGTGATTTGGCAAAGCCAAAATGAGGTGATTGTGATCCATTTTGCCCAAATGGGCCGAGCCGTCTGCATAGCTTTTCTATACCATTCGTTTCATTTTCTAAATAAATAAAACGGTATTTTTTTCCATTCATGTGGTAGTGGCCTATATGCAAATGTGCAGAGTAGTTGACGTTATTCATTAATATAACTTTAAGACGTAAATACCTTCTGTATATATTGATGTTAATTTAAGAACATTATTTTAGCAGAACAATATTCAGATAGCTGGGAACCATACCACATTCATTAAATCAAACATTCCAACCAATTGCAGCAAAATAATAGCCCTTTTCATGCTAGCAGCGTCTTTTAATATATAAAGAAACATTTATTCCAAGTTTATCCACGGACCTCACTAAATTTGTCTTCAGGATCAACGTATTTCCATGCCACTAGTTATAATATAAAGCAACAAAAATATTCTATGACGCCCATGCTCACACGTGCTATCTTTTTACGGATTGGTAGGGCTAAACAGCGCCCTCAGCCGTCCACAAGAGTAATAGTCCATAATAATGTTACAGTATGGTCTTGGGTCTTTTTAATTTAGTGCTTGCTTCCATAATGGTACTTGTAGTATTTCCCCAGCATAATTATATATAAGCATAAACGTTTCTTTGTTGTCTAAAATGTATTTAGTCCCAACTGTGTGGAGTTACAGAATGATTGTGGTTTCGTAGTGGTGCGCACCACTCTGACTGGCCGCCATCTTAGTCGTTTTGGTCGCCTTGGTAGTTGAACGTTTAGTGGATGCTCGAGGTGCCGACGCACGTGTTGCTGATTTCCTGGACGGCACAGTGGATGCCCCAGTAGCTGATCCACGGCTTGGTGCTGCTGACATCTTCTTCAATTCGACTGTTAACAAAATTGTATAGGATAATTTCAGAGGTTTAATCACAGACTTATAACGGACTGATACAGCTCTCAAACTATCTGTTATAATCACAGTAAAATTCCCTTACTGTCGTCGTGTATGTCAATATATATGGCCTCGGCATCATCATGTGCACGTGTCTCAGGCATCGGGCTACTTGCTGACCTCTCAGCTTTCTGAGAGCGTTTTCTGCAATTTGAAAATAAAATAATATAAAGACAACACATTAATTCTTGAGTATTGTTAAAAGAACTGATCAACAAGTTTTAGAACTGGAAATCTAGTCACTATATGACTGTAGAAAATTACCATAAACGTCAAGTCGATTATCCTGACTAGGATATAGGTACTTGAATACTTTTCACTGCATCCAGCCGACTATGACATTAATGGTCACATCTTACCTTCGTGAAAGTTTATCAGGTTAAAATTAATGCCAAAGTTCTCACCGATAGTGGCTGGCAAAAGCTATCAACAAGGCAACAGCAGTGGCAAGTATGATGCCAATGGCAATTCCTACACCACCAATGAAAACCGTATTAGCGACGCTGCTTCCCGAATCGACTAAGAAGATAAAGATAGAACGTTAAAAAAAAATCAGATTCTTTGGTGTGAACAAGTTTAGATACTTACAAAAAAAATATCTGCAAAACCTCAATTGACTAACTGTGTAAGGGTACAACTGTGTGAAGTGTAACATTACCAATGGGGCTGATTTCGGAGCCAAATTATTAACGTGACTCCACAATATATTTTGTCGTCTTCTTCAGTATTGATGCATTGTATATTCATACACGCTTTAGTGATATCTTACCTTTTATTATCACCATGCTGAATTCTATCCAGGGACCAGGTCCTACCCGCGTAGACGCCCACAGCCTGAAGGAGTAGGACGCCCCCTGTGACAGACCATCGACTTCAACAGACTCTGCCGTGGTGTCGGCTATTTGTATCATGGACCCAGATGCGTCACGCAGCTCGTACGTGTAGCCTGTGATGTCACCGCCTCTTTTGCCGCAGGGAATCGGATGCCAAGACACTCGAGTGATTTGATTGGACGAAGAAACGCTGTCAACTTCAGGAGCAGCCAATGGGACTGTGATAAACCATGACACAAAACAATGTTCGTGCTTGTTGATCGTGTTCAGATTTGATACAGACCAGTTTCCTAATAAATTCAAATTCATGCACGCATGCGCATAAATGGGTCGTGAGGCTATAAAAGCGAAATCTGCCCATTGAAAATATTCAGTAGTCCCAAGCATTTTGTCATTTTCTCTCATATTCTTCAAGATTCGTTCAATTTGTCTTCGGAAAAAGTCCCTAAAGTCATCATAGGTATGTCAAGGCCCTAATAGTGGTCTTTTTGTTTGGGATACAAAATAAATTAAAAAAAAAAAATGCTTTCGTCCCGTATGCACGAGGCCCAATGAAATCAGCACGGGTCCTTTCCGCATGAGTGCTATAAAGAAATAACGGTTTTCTTCGGGATACCATCCACGGCGGCAAAAAAAAATGATTTCACCGTCTAATGGAAATAATGCTGCGCTATATCAGTTTTACACAACATCGTGTCCTGTAAATACAGTCAGTCCGCAGCGCACGCGATAATGAGGTCAAATTCCGAACAATATGTGCACGGGCTACGTCACGAATCGGCCACGAGACTTACACGTGTTATTGCGAGAGTTTGGCACTTTTTTTTCCATGAACTACACGTTGCAAATGAAGTAGCGGGTCTCCAAGATGGCGTGGTAAGTCGAAAGCGAACGTTTTTCTGAATCGAATGATATAAAATATGTCGAGATTCAGTAAGTTTTTGGCGGAATTTTGTTCACTCGAAGTTGGGGTGTGATTTTGAGGACTATTTTCGTTGTGTTTTTAGTTCCTGCGCCCTGACTGGACTAGGTAATAATGACGAAAATGATCACCACACATCGATTAAGGAAGCAATGAGCTTTCGTTTGATATGTATTTTAGCTTGTGGCGACATGTTTGTAGTTTTTTCTGCGACACTGAATACGAACTTTCCGTACGTGCCATGTAATGACTATGGAGCTATGACACTACATGCGGAATAGCAAAGACGTATTACATGTACATAGGCCCCCTATGCTTTGTTATGGTTCAATGGATCGTTGGTCATCACATTTTTTCGTAACTGGAAGATGCTCGTAAGATTAGCTTATACCTATCTCATCAGTCGTCACCGTCTTCCTTTCTGAAAAATCTTCTCCAGGGTGATGCCCTGGTTCCACGCGCACGCCGTACGTAGAGTAAGCATGCATCGAAGTTAGCTCGATGCCGCTGCTGTTTACAACTGCTGCGTGTATCGGGGCCGAGTCGGTCTGTGGCTGGCACTGCTCCAAGTTGAGAAGTTGGTAACTAACCCGGTACGAGGGCGCAGGGCAAAGGTTGACCTCTTCCCTGGTACTTGTCCAGGTGACCCGGATGTCATTTCTTGAAGGTTCCAGGGTGAGGGATTGGATTTCGTCTTGAGAAGATATTAAAATATGATATTTTGCATCAAGACAACTATTTTTTTACCTGAAATTCAGGCCTGATTTGACCTGATACACATTTTGTCAAAATGACAATTCTCTGGTCATTGTCTGGGTCATTTACACCAGGAAAACTTTCAGGTCAAGTATGACCAGAATTAAAGTTTGGTATGGAATTATGTTTTACCCTTCAAGATTGTGTCTTGGTGTGTCCAGTTTGTCCATGGACCTGCTCCAATGCGAGTATATGCTCGAACTTTGATTGAGTACGTGGTACATGGTGATAAATCATGTAAGGTAACAGACAGCTCTGAGATATTTCTCTTGTCGATAGTTCTGTCCTCTTCTTGTGGTCTTGGCCCTCTGAATGCGTACTCGTAGTGCGTGACATTGCCACGTCTACTGCCACAAGGGATGGGATCCCAGGAGAACGTGATGCTGTCATTGGTTGCTGTACTTCGGATAACCGGTGCTGCAATTGGTGCTGTCAAAAACAAAGTTCAACATAAGCTCAATAACAGGGTGACCGTAAGGTCATGGCAAAGTTCTGCTAAATGCACTTCAAAAATCTGTCAGATTTATCAAAAATCTGCCAAATTCCCCAGATCACTCGAAATAGATTATAAACACTTAAAATCACATGCAGATATTGTAATATTGCTTTAATTTAGGTTCAAATCACATTATAGTCACCTAAAGAAAGTAAGTAAGTAAATAAAGATGTTATGAAATTGGGTAAATAAAAAAAGCTTCAATCTGTTTTAAAAAAACACTTAAAAAGTAGGACAGGTTGCCTGGTCTAGGTGCTGAGGTTCACTGGGAACCAGGTCGATTTCTTCCGGCGTGACGCAACCGCGTTTTGCCTGAAATTTACCGTAAATTTCAGGCAAAACGCGGTTGCATCACGCCGGATGAAATCGACCAAATTAACCAAAGGCAACCGCTATCTTAAAAATGCACAGGTATAAACAAACACTTTTGGGCTCACATCACTCCTGAATTCTAAGTCAACCTGTAACTAAACCAAATCTGTCCAATTTGTCGAAGTCGCAATGGTAACATCTACCAGACCGGTACTATTTGTATAACATAATAAACCAGATCAAGATTTATTGTTATTTTTCCAGGGTAGCCCCATCAGTTGTCAATGAACTGTTCTCCCTGGGGGCCCTGGATCAATGTTACCAAACACTTACTGTTTTCACTGGTGAGCAATTCTACGAATTTTGTTTCACCATGTCCAGCTTCATTGATTGACGAGACGTTCACTCTGTACTCTGAGTAATACGCAGGTAGGTGGAGAGTAGCGTGAGTAGTGTCGACCGTTCCTACATCTGTTATGATTGGTGGATTCTGCTTGGTGCATTGGTCCATCGTGATGAGCTCATACGTTACACTGTAAGATGTCGCAGGGCAGGCTCCTTCGGGGGAAGTCCAACGAACGTCGAATTCGTTTCGTTCACGTGAAATGGCGAGTATGGATATGTCTGATACAGCAGCTGGCACTGTATGGAACAAAAACATCACTACACTGCAAGATGACGTCTCACTTTCATAGACCAGAAGAAGAAGAAAAAATAGTATCGCTGCAGGTGTTAATTTTTTTCGTTTAATCATAGTGGGGCGCCTTTCCTGATACAGACTCGAAATGGAGAATTGGGGGCAGCCATTTAAAGTATGATACCGCTGTCATATGAAAATTGAACTCGTATGAAAATCGGACGTCCTCTTTTTTCCCTTTTTATTGGTTAAGCCCTCTCACATGACCGGTCCCTCTCCTAATTATCTATGCATGAGCATGCGCAATACCACCAATGAGTCCGTTTTTCATATAACCTAAATTCTTGCTACACCGGCCATGCAGCGCGTCGATTGTCAGGTCGATCTATGACGTAGGGCTCAACCTACTTAAAATCTACGCGCGAACCATTGTGGCACTGCGTTAAGCATGACGCATCAGTATACGTGTGCAGAGGTAGCTGGGCCAATCAAACTGCGGAGGATGTGGCGTAGCCAAGACGCACAGCAGCCAATATTTAAGACATTTGAAGCATGAGGCCGTTGCCTGTCCTGATACACACGTGTGTTATGAGGTCAAGTTGGTCTCTAGGCCATAGCAGGCGGTGGAACTGTCGCGAGTGGTGACAAAGCACCATGGTTTATGCACAAACTCCATTATTAAGGATGTTTGTTTTCCATTTTGCTCAACACCCTATCGATGGATATCGAACAAGAGCATGTACTTACCAACGGAGTCTGTTAGTTGATAGTGAGTCAACCACTGACCTCTTCGAGCATTGCCATATGCCGACGCAGCCAGAGAGTAATTTGTGCAGGGTTCTAGACCAGTGTGTGTCACAGACGTGGTTGAGACAGTCTTCTTAATTGTCAAATCGGGTCTAAGCAAACGTGTCCTGTAGCCAGTAATGTTAGCACCTCTGCTCCCACAAGGGATGGGGTTCCATGTCCACGTGATACTATCAGTCGTTGCTGAACTGCTGTTGAATTCGGGTGGCACCTGTGGAACTAGTAAAGTATAGAAATGAACTCAACGGTAAAACAAGAAACAGTAATATCGGCAGCATGCAGCAGCAACATTAACGACAACCGTAGCAACAGAAGTCGCAGTAACAAAACAGCAACATTAGATGAAACAGCAGCAGCAGAAGCAGCAACGGCACAGCTAACTGACCATAGCACAGATTCCATGCCCATCGACTATGGGTGAGGTGTCACTCACGATTCATTAATTTAGCCTCGAGTTAATTACTTCGAAGTTTTTCCTTCAACAATTCGATATCTCTCATGAGAAGTAATTACTCGATCTTCAATTATAACACTTGTTTTAAAGAGCACTGCACGCCAAACTAAACAAAACCTGTGTCGTTCATTTTGTCATTCAGGATGCGTATCCTGATCAATTAAAAACGATACCGCAATCAACAACTCCATTGTAAACGGAGTAACAGTAACAAGAACAGCACGTGACCTACCAGTTTCTCCTGTTGTAACTTGAACTGAAGATGGCATGCCGTTTCCAGCTTCCGTTCGTGGTGTAACAGACACATTGTAAGTTGAGTATGCCTTTAGTCCATTTAGAGTGATGCTGGTGTCAGCGGTGGTATTAACTGATCCACCATGTTGATGAATCTCTAGACACTGCTCCAGGTTTATGAGGACAAAAGTCACCAAGTAGTTGGATGCAGGACAAGGGTACTCTTGGCTGGTACCCGGTGCGTCCCACGATAGCCTGACCCGTTGCGCCCCACGATAGCCTGTGCCCTGAACAGTCAGTCCGTCAACGGCACCTGGGACTTTAATAAAGATTTAGTAATGATTTAATTTTAAAATTGTTAACTCCAGATTTTTAGGGGGGAATGGTAATTTGGTAAACCGACACTTCTGCACGTCACTACCGATACTATTGTGTGCAAATCCACTTTTCTTATGAAATTAATTTTCATTTTAGGTATTGGAATATGATTTTAATGGTGTGAATTGTGACGACACCCTGCACAATATACTGCAAAACATCCTTTTGTAGTAATCAGCTCTGCCGATTGAGCATGTACTCACCAACGGATTTTGTTCGTTGAGTCAACTCCTGACCACTTTGTCCTGCACTGGTATATGCCCATACGACCAGGGTGTAATTTGTGCAGGGTTCTAGACCAGTGTGTGTCACTGACAAGGTTGAAATAGTCTGAGTTGTCAATTCGGGTCCAATCAAACGTGTCCTGTAGCCAGTAATGTTACCACCTCTGCTTCCACAAGGGATGGGGTTCCATGTCCATGTGATACTCTCAGTCGTTGCTGAACTACTTTTGAATTCAGGAGGAGCCTGTGGAGCTAGTGAGGATTACAATTAAACTAGTGAGGATAAAAATTATACAACTAAACGAGCTAGTGTGGATACAAATTAAACAAGTATAACAACAGCAGGAACATTAACGACAACCCGCAACAGAATCTATAATAACAAAACAGCAACATCAACAGCAACGGTACCTGCAGCAGGAGCAACAACAGCAGCAGCAAAAGCAGCAACCGAATTAAGTAGCCTAGGTTTGACATCTTCATCGCATCCGTCGCGTGTACACATCGAGGAGTTCGACTGGGCCACAACCTAAGCAGCAACGGCAGGGCCGCTACGCTAATTGACCATGGCTTCTACGGCGTGCAAAGCACATAATACAGCTCTATCTACCGGGTAAGGTGTCGTATAATTTATGATTTATTCATGTTATTAGTTTGAGTTAATAACTTCAAGGTTTTTCTCCAATAATTCGATGTCTCAAGTGAGAAGTGACAACTTTTGTGATTGTCCAACTTACGAAAGTTTCTCGCCATGATTTGAACATGTGATTTAGAGTACGTCAAACTGTTACAAAATTGGTGTCGTTCAGCTTGCCAGTCAGGATGCATATCCAGATTTAATAAAAACGACACCACCGTCGCCAACTCCATTGCCAATTAGAAGAAGTTAAAGTGCACATGACTCACATGTTTCTCCAGTTGTAATTTGAAGCGAAGATGGCATGCCGTTTCCATCCTCATTCCGTGGTGTAATAGACACAGTGTAAGTAGAGTACGCCTTCAGTCCTCGTAGAGTGATGCTGGTGTCAGTGGTGGTCACCGACCCGCCATGTTGATGAACCTCCAGACACTGCTCCAGGTTTAAGAGGTCAAAGGTCACCAAGTAGTCGGATGCAGGGCAGGGGAACTCTTGGCTGGTTCCTGGTGCGTCCCATGACAGACTCAGGCTATTGTAACTGGTGCCCTGAACGGTCAACCCGTCAACGGCATCTGGGACTTTAACAATGATGTATTCATGATTTAATTTTAAAATTGTAAGTTAACTCCGGTATTTCTTTATTGCAAAACAGTAATCTGGTTAAAGGTTTGGTTTGGTTTGCCACTGCCGAATCTAAAATGGTGTCAATCCACTCGTAACTAAAATATGAGGTTATTTCCCATTTGGGGCTTGGAATATGATTTCAGGGGAGCAGTGAAACAGAAACAGCAAAATTGTTTACCTTTCAAATAAGTTTGAAGAATCGTTTAAAATAATAATAATTAATCGTGATTCACAGTCATCCTGCCGTTTGGGCAATTCACGGGTGATGGCCAAGTAAAATTCCCAATCGTTTCATTATCAAAGGAACCGAAATATGAGGCAATCTGAGTTGCGAATGACTCCGTAACTGGGTCGGAAATACGACGAAAGAACAATTCTAGACTTCTGATCGAGCAGTCTATTTCTGATTAGGTGGAACTAAGTACGTTTACCGACGATATTCTAATTGGACCGTTGAGAAGCAGAAGATTTTCAGTCAGCTTACAGGGAAAAACTGGGAACCAGTCAAGACCGCTTTAGTACGGTTAGGCCAAGGCCAGGTTTTTTTACCTGATTTTTTTGCTTCAAATGTCGGCTGATGACTGCAAATGGTGCCCCACTAAAACTTAGTGCAAATATATGGGAGTCCAGAGAGGCCACATAAAGCTTATTCTCGACCATAACCCAATCTAAAAACACGTTAAAATTGTGCAGCAGCAGGATTCCAGTCGAACCAGTGAGTTTGGCGGTTTTGAGACATCATCTTTTATTGAAAAAAAAACGTTTTCATTTTGCCGACGCGCATGGCTACGGCGACGCGCGCGCATACCAGAAACCGGAGACTTTTTTTGGCCTTACAGACGACAATAAAAATTGTTCACGCTTAGTCGCTTACCTAGGGATTCTGTGCAGGTTGTACCACACGATGCCATATTTCCATTAAATAGCAAAAAAATTTCTGAAATCGAGAAGGAGAAGAACATTGGAGTTATTTGTGGTAACCTCGTCAAAGACAAAACAGACCGACATAAAACAAAGGGCACAAAAACGGCAGTTGACGATTCCCGTGAATCGTGGCGCGCAGTTCCGAAACACTTGCCCGTAGTTCTGTTGCACGCGACCCCGTCCATACAGGGACAGTGACAGTGACAGTCTTCGCCGTATGTGTCAGTGCCACACACTTAGGTAAAAGAAAACAAAAACGACAAAATAGTATTACTTTGGCAGTTGATGCCCTTGAATACTGGCGCGCAGTCCCCGGGGCACTCGCCCGTAGTTCCGTTACACGCGACCCCGTCCATGCAGTGACATGTCTGAGCACAGTCGGCACCGTAGAAACCATCAGCACATGCTACAACAAAATTTGAATCATTGGATTGGTGATAAGTTACTGCAAATAAATGCAAAATTTTTGAAATATCAGCCCACGTGATTGACACTGAGGGGCGTCGCCAGAGGGGAGGGAATGAGAGGGATGTGACACGCCCACTGGTCGTTTCTACGGACAAAAACGTCGAAAAAGCCACCGCAAAAAGGGGGAATTCATATAGGAGACCAATTAACGATTATACATGAAGGGTTAATAAAAGTATCACTAAACTACCTTTTTTAATTTTCTTTGACTTACGTTCATCGCAATCGATTCCTTGGTACCCTGCAGCACACGAGCAGCCATAAGGATCTGGTAAACAGAACAGCATCCCTGCACACGTAGGACCGCCTCCTAACTCAGGTGAGTCGCAACGAAAACTTCCTGATTGGCCAAAACGATTGGGGTCTATCGCTAGGAACGAAATACAAGACCTTCTTTGTCAGTTAACGTACGTGAGAGGTTCAACAAAGAAATATTTGTGTCGAAAATGTTGACAACTAATGTTAAAAACTTACAGTATTAACCCTAAAAGAGCCGGGGGCGGAATCCGGTCCCCCCCCCCAACATTTTCCGCGATAGCCTCTAAAAAAACATAAAAATCGGACCACGGGTTGCCCCGTAGCGAAAAACCTTCCGGCGCTACGCGCCATGAAAACTGAATTTTCCAATAGGCCAATACGTCGTGTACACAGAGCAGAATTGCCATTCGTACATATGAATAATTAATTAGCCATAATTCCAAAACCTATCCACCTATAGTCATGGAATTTCTTGGGTATGTTTAGGAAGAGTTGTGCTATGCATGTACTGAGTTTCAAAATGTTTCGTCACTCGATGGCCGAGATCTTAGGGGGGGGGCGGGCGGAATCCGGTCCCCCCCCCCCCCCCCGGCTGAGAGATGGTCAAAATAACCCGGCCCTTTTAGGGTTAACAAGCGTCCGATGATGAATTACAGTCGTTTGACTTAACAAAACAGTATGGTTGATGAATTCGACTGTTCTCTATTTTAATGTGTAAACTTCTTTTCATTATACGTCCCGGGAGGAGATTTTGAAGAAAAAACTTGCGGGGAAAAAAATTGAGGGGGGGGGAGGGGGTTTGTTCAAACTCACGTCTTTTGCAGAATTCGCCGCTGAAGCCAGGCGGGCAAATGCAGTCTCCACTACGGTCGTCACACATACCACCATTGAAACAGACGGGGCAATCCCTGTCGCACGAGGGCGCATTCCATTTATTCTTTTGACATGCTGTGATACCAAAATATAAATGGAAAAACAACACATTTTGTTTCGAGGTGAAACCCAAAAACAGAACGGGAACTCATCTTTCAAAATAATTTAAACTTAAAGGCCTACCTCTGACAATCAACCGCATGAGTGCCTGGTTTCCACGGTTACGTTCCCCTGCCAATTGTGCCTCATAGATCCCTGTGTCTGAGACACTGGCACTGATGAAATCAAAGTAAAGACTGTCGCTTTTGTCCCGGAAGACTTCACCGCCATTCTTTCTCCATCGAATGTTGGTACGGGCTGGGTCGGTTACAGTGACGGTCAGATCGACTGCATCGCCCGAGTTTACCGTCTGACTCACTCGGGTAGGTAGGAAGTCAGCTGTAGTACACAATAATAAATCAGGCGGGCTCCGGTCAACAAATATAAAAATAAACCGGCCCTGTTTTCATTGTCAACAATGGCCATTTTTTTTTCGATTACGATTTTTTTTTCACAATTTCGCTTTAAAACATCTTGCTTAACAATTTTGACATGCTTCTGTAAGCAAAACATCATTATTTTCTTAATAAGCCTCTTTAATGATGACGTCACACTTTGTTTACGTGTGTGCTTTCCTTCGTTGCTCAGTGGACCGTGGGCCCCCACTGGCTCCATAGGAAAGTGCACATGTAAACAAAGTGTGACGTCATTAGTACAGAGGCTTATTGCCTTAATGATGCAAGGGGCAGGCATCTCAATTATTTCATTTTGCATTTTTACGAAGGGACACAAACAATACAGGTGCCCCTTGATATGTGTACAAGTATTGGACGGAAAAACATACATGTAAAAGTAGATCAAGTGAGATATTAGTTTTCACGAAGACCCGCACATCTTTATTACATTATCAGTTGCGCGCTCCTTCCCGATGGAAAAACACGTTGAACAGAAAGGGCCTAAATGAAGGAAACGTGGATTTTCGTGTTCACGAAGGAACCCACATCTTTATACTAATTAGTTTTGGCTAATTAACTATTGTGCTGATTCTAGTAATACTGGGTTTACATAAAACTGTACCTTTTAAAGAATCATGTCATTTTTGTGTTACATTGTAAGGGGTTGCAAAGTGGTAGTTTTTGCAGTTTTAAAACAGGAGGAACTTCTCTACGTTTTTTCTTCAAAATCCACATGTGTGGCTCTTCCTGAAAACGGTGACGCACACGTCCTTTAAAGATAGATTCTCCGTGCAACTTTCGGCTTTCAACCTCGGAATTGCTATTTTCGTATAGCAATGTCAAAGTTATTCACTTATGAGCAAGACATCGAACGAAAGCAAATCCATTGAGGTTTAGGTATTGAATTATTTCTTCATGAAATTCGAAACATTGCCTGCCAGACAATAATCGCCATCCCAGAGTGGGTTTATTTGTGCGCAAAAGGAAAGCCGTTTCAGAGATGGTCACGGACGCCCAAATCGGGAGGATTTTTATTAAAAAAATGCTACAAATTAAAATTCGTTAAGAGGAAAACAAAATAATTTTTGGAGAGTAGGGGGTATGAGCTTTAAAGCCATCTCTTACGTTTTGTACCATACCGGTCCAATCCCTTCAGTTTCAATTTGGAAGAGGAATTCTTTTATCTATAATGCCATTAAACTTACCATTTTTGCTCATGATGACCGTGCCAATGCTGATGTATTCCCTTCCCATCATCCTGGCTCTACAGGCAAAGGCTCCAATCCTAGTCTTTCCGCCAGCCGCTGGCAATCGAAGAATAGAGATCTCATCTTCCTCTGATGACGGACGTAGTTTGAAACGGTGGCCTGAAGGTAGCTCTAGCTGGTTGTATAGGCCTATCCTATCAACGCTTGTGTACGTGTAGGTTGTTCGGGCGAAGGACAGCGTAGCGTTACCGCCATGTAGATAGGCAGCAATGTAGGTGTCTTCACTGCTGATATTAATACGGGGCTTGGTGATACAGGTGAAATCATGAATGGCTGAAACACCTGCAGTGCAAAACGGGATGAGAAGTATAAAGAAAACAGAGTGATTGTAACTTTCGTTCGTTCGTTCGTTCATTAAAATTACCATCAATTTTAACCTTTAGTTACCAATTATGTCCACTTTGAGGGTATGAACTCCATATGAAATCTATATGGCTTTAATACGCTAATGTCAATTTACATGTTCTGTGTCCAGATATATTTAATGTCGGGATGAAACGTTAGTGCCTGGACTGTTTGGTTACGCATGGTACGGCCCAGTACGCCGGATAGTTTTGGGCATGCACAAAACTACGCTGCGTACGCTGTTACTCAAGTCATAAGTTATAAATACGCAGCGCATCGGTCCCGCATCGGTCGATCACGGTACGAGTACGCTATGTGTTCGTGGGGGATAAGCCTTTTCATACGCAGTAAGACGCTGACCTCCCGGCACGCACCCCGTCAGCGTATGAGCCGCCTATATTGGACGTATACATAGCGTACTTGCAGCGCAGATACAACGCACGCTGAACGAACTCATAGCGAATGCCGACGTATTGCGTCAGGCATGCGGTCGGCATAATGTGCATTATTGTCCGTAAACATTTTGGCATCCGTTAAAATCGCTCTGTGTAGCAATTGTGACGGACGTCAATAACGGACATGCAACGCATGAGTGTATATGGAAAGGAGCTTATGTTTTTCTGTGTTTCGATTCATCATTTCGGTAAAAACTCAACGTATACGCATCGTATACGCAACGGGCACAAAACGGACACAAAACGGACCGAAAAATGCACTTATGGAAAGGCAGCTTTAGTCGGGTGCGTCCGGAATACGCTCAGAATGCGCACTGCATACTGACCTATTTGCAGCCCGAAAAATAATGTTGTGCACTGCATACGCAACTCATACGCATCTTAACGCAATGGATGCGCTGAATTCGTTACTTGTACGCTAGATGTGCGTCGCACATAAGTCAAAGTATTCAAAAAAATTCGACGTTTTGAGCGTACGGCTGCGTATTGAAAATTTTTGATAAGGAACTCATAAGGAATTAGGATACGCGAAAGTGTGACAGGGGCTTTAGCGGTACGATGTGTCGGCACATACGGGATAGTGGACTGTGCAGCTGCGAGTCACAGAGCTGCCCCTTCCTAATACCACAGAGCTAGGACCTTATACGCCAACAGTGGAGGCCGCAAAGTGCTTTGCGTGCGGTTCGTCAGCCGGCCAGTCATACGGCGTCAGGTTCGCGGATGGGAACAGTACGCCCTATCAGTTGCGAAGCCAGGATTTTGTCAGTGGGGGCCCGGGGGAGGGGTGGGGGGGGGGGGCCACAAGCATGTTCATGGGGCACCAAGAGCGGACCACAAACAAACATTTCCAAAAATGTCCAGGTGCTGTAAAATCAACAGGGGGAGGGGGGGGGGGGGGGGAGGGGGGGGGGGGGGGCTGGGCTACTCTTGACGCTAGAGTGCGCTCTTTGTTCGCACCAATTTTATTCGCTTTCCGGCAAATTTAAGGTGGTTTTTTTTTGGGGGGGGCACCTTGAAGGGCACTGGGTGCCGCCCTAGCCCCCCCCCCCCCCCCCCCCGGCTAGACCACTGCGCCCTATATCTCGACAGTATACGACATGTGTGCTGTTAATGTTGCGCGGTACTCAAGGGCTGTACCGTTCCGTCTGTCGTGAAGTCGCGCTAAGAACGTCTTGCAACAAGACTACCTTCCTCCAATCCCGCGGTGATTCAATTCTTTTTCCCTTATTCATTTAGAAACTAAAAAATGCAAACAATTCAAAACGTACCTTTGCATTGTCCAAGAAATAGCAACAATTGCCAAGCGATTCGGAGACGGACGTCCATGCTCCCCTCCACGTTGTCAAGTTTCCTTTTGTAACTGTGCGCGTCCCGATTTCAAGTTTATATAGATTATATATTTTCTAAATGCAAAAGTGTGTATGTAACTCAATGCATAAACGAGGAAAAGGAAGTAAATTTCAATATCGTTTGCCAGACGGGATATAAGCATGGCAATAGTATTATTATTGGGGTTTTTGGCAAGCTGTCTTTTGATCCAGACGAAGAAATCATAATGAAGAAATCTGGATGAAGAAACATCACTCACTCATTGTACTTCCTTATCAATGGTTCACGTACGGAACACTTCCGTTTACTTTCAAAATAACGGGGAAAAACAATAAATAAATGTAGGGATCTGGGAATTCCCCTTTAAGAAGTTACGTACGCGCCATAAGCATGATGACGTCACTGACTCGTGGTTGCTAAGTGCGTTCGGCAACTACATAGTTACAACAAAAACGTTCTTATAATTTCTCAAACTTTATTCTTACTATTTTATTGGGCATGTATAAGTTAGCAAAATACATTTATAGTTTTCTCATCATATTAGATCACTCCTGAAATATGATATTTTACTAAAGTAAATCTGGGTTTTTGTGCTTCGGACTTCTTCGGGCTTTTCCGGAAGTAAGTGGCCTACGTGCAGGATTGGCACGTCCTGTTCCTTTTTCTTCGGACCATGCCGTTGCATGATGTGAGCCAGATTCACATCAAAAACCTTCTTTGGCGAGCTAAAATCTGAAGGCCCATATCTGAACAGCCCACTAACTGAAGTGAAGTGCTGTATAGCTGCTTTTGGAGTCATTTAAGGGAAAGATTTGAAGACGTCGGGGTGAGAATTTTAGGCATTTCTTTCGACACATTTTGTACCGAAATTGTAAACAAACTGAAGTTACATGTACGTGTATTGTACGTATAGTGTGTACGCTGTGACATGCAAACTTTAATACACAGCGTCTGCTTTTCTATTTCATTGTACAGGGTTTGTATATCCCATTGAAATATTGTATCTCAACTGGATCATCAATAAATCAACCAATCAACTAATGACAGAGACCGATGATGATTGTCCACGCTTGGTGATTGTCTCCCATCCTCCTTAACTGGTGGACGAGTCTCCCCCCTCTGAATAAGACAGCAGGGCCGACCACTACATAAACAAACAACTTAAAATCATACGCTCCAAAAACATGACTGTGAATTGAATTTTACAACTAAAGAAACATCATTCACGACTGGTAAAACACAGAACAGCGATGAAATGTGGACTATAATATATTGTGCCTCACTTTCTTCTTGTTATTTTATGCTAACGTAATAAGTCCATTATATGCCAGCTCACAGTGGGGACTCGATGCCAAATCTAAACTAAGGAAAATTATGGCTTTGAAAAAAATCGAGTGTAGTGCAGAGTACCATTTACAGTGTACTTAAACCACAAGACATTTTGGCTGGTAACCTGCGTTAATGTTTTCTATTTGCGTTACTTTCTTTCTATGTATGTATGTACACACGATACTTAATATTTTTGAATTAATAAATTTGCATCTAACTGTCTTTTTATTACACTTATATTCACAAGGTTAAAAAGAAATCCTGACATTTTCCTGGGCAGAAGAGTTTAGGAGATTATCTTAAACAAATTTTGAGGACGACCGATATAAGCATTAATATTGGCTTGCTATGAGAGACACGATTGCTCAAAGTGTTCAAGATATACGGGATAACCATCATTTTAAAATACCTCAAGTGGTGTTTTTGTTGCGGAGGGGTGGTAGCTTGAGGGTCGAGGGACTGAAGCCCTCCTGATTCACGCTTTAGCCAAATTAACCCTCTTTTTTCCACTTGCCTTTAGCACAATGGTAGCCCCATGCTGACAAATAGAGAGTGTCAAGTCGAGTCCACATTAACAGCCCCCCTCCCCGCTCTCACAATGCACCCTCCCCTTCCAAAATCTCCACTGGTCCGTGAACCGGCAAAATAAGTTCCTGATCAGATTCGCCCATTTAGGTTTCCGGTTTAAATGACCCGGAAATAATTCAAGGGAAGGGTTATCTGACCCGGAGAAGTGTGAATTTTGACCCAAATCCAAACTAATGATCAAACCAATAACTAAACAAACAGCTTAAAATCTCGCGCTCCAACACCGACTGTGAAATTTAGTCTACAACAAAATCAACATCATTCACTATAGGAAAAACACTGAAATGCAGTGAAAATGTGATTAGCAAGGCCTCATTCTCTGGCTGAAATTTTGTTCGTGTTATACGTATAGTACAATTTGCAAAAAAAGTGGTGATTCACTGCCATATCTAAACTACAGAATGTTACCGTGAAAAATCAAGTGTTGTGCAGAGAACCATTTACGTTAAGGAGAATACACGAGAAAGTGTGGATTCGTAATTTAAGAATTCGTAAATTAAGAATCCACACTTGCGAGTGTATTCTTCGACTTAAACCATTGCGTCAACAGAAGTGTTGGAAAGAATGTTGCAACCTGACGCCACTTTTTTCTTCATATATCATCTCAATGAAGGTCATTCGTTGCAAATATGATGATAATACATGAATCTGGGACTGCAAAATGTTTCCAATTTTGTTAGGAAATACTTGAAATGACTCTCCATAGACTTTGTACAAAAGCGCGAAATTGGCGGCAGGTTGCAACATTTTTTTCCTGGCGTGTTTAGCATGTGTATCGCCACACCCGTACAGCCAAGTCATTTTGTGTGTATAGGCTCCTTACGTGAAAAGTGGATAGTTCAGACGACGATTTCTTTCTGACTAGATTTTGCAGTGACGGCGGAGAATCTGACAGTGAAGATGCATTGGTAATTTTCGGAAGGCAAATTTTCGCGCAGACGGTCCTATTCATGCTCATTATGGAGGACAATTGTCCGACGTGTTCAAAGTGTGGATTCGTAATTCCGAATCCACACTTTGTGACCAGTGTAAGAGATTCGTAGATCCGAATCCACACTTTTAACAATAGTGTGACATCATAGCAATGGTTTAAAATCAATTTAAACCACACCACGTTTAAGCTGGTAACCTGTCGTGCACAATATGAGCGCAAGGTTTTCTGTCGCGGGTGTCATTTTGACCCGGTAAGTGTCAGTTTTGACCCTGTAAGGCATTCGACCAGAAAGAGTCCGTATTCCGGGTCAATCTGACCTGGGACTTTTTACAGTCTATCTAGCTTCTGGCTATACATACAGATCCCCCCCCCCTACAGTCTGATCTCTAGATACGCCCCTTTCCACCTGCTTGATTCAACAATCAAAATGTTTTGTTTTTTTCGGGTGTCAGGACAGGCTGCACCTTAATGTTGAGATCCACATGCTTGAAATCTCTACGTACAAATTAATGATTACCTTTATCTGCTGTGATTATCAACATCGAATGGTTAAACCCACGCCACAAATCTGCATTAAAGAGACACTAGAATGCGCCCAATTGGGCTAATGAAATTATATCACTTGGAACGAGCATTTAAAAGGACATAAACATAAAAGGACATAATTTTTGCGAGAACCATGCGAGAACGAATTTCGGGGTCACAATTTTGACTGCAACTGTTAGTTGTGAATCCTGCCGCAAAGTCCTTGGCATTTTGCGGACGTGTAAGAAACAACAAGAAACAACATAATGTATTAATGCAGTGTGGATTAAGTAACATGCACACGACGTGTTCAGGGCATTGAATAGAGGCGGCTTGAAATACGTATGTTTATTCCACAAACTGTCCGCTTCGTCCGATGTATTTCGTCTTTTCTCGAGAACGGTAAGACATTTAGGTTAATTTTTTTTCAACTAGGCCTTTGAAAAGGGAAAAGTTAACAATTCAAAACAAGAAATGTTCTGGGATTTCAGGCCGTAATGCCCCCTTTAAACGGCTGTAGAACGTTGAGCATTTAGAATTCGAAATATTTGCAGACGTTGTCCAGTCGTACGTTGCTCACGTCGGCTTCGTTACGGGTGATGTTATTCAACTGGCAAATCAACACTCTGGGGCCGCCTCGGCGCAGATTGAAGGAGCGGCATCAAGGCTCATCCCGGCACGCCGAGCCGCACGCGATGACACCCTTGGCCGAGAACTCCTTGATGACGTGACCGGTAAGGCAGTGAGATGATTATTGTGAATCAACTGCAGAAAACCATTTACAATCAATTTAAACTACAAAACATGTTATCTAGTAGCCGGTCGTACACATCAGCGTGAAGTTTTCTGTTCCGTCGCGTGTGTCATTTTGACCCGGTGAAGCGTCTATTTTGACCCTGTAAAGCATTCGACCAAATAGAGTCCGTATTCCGGGTCAATCTGACCAGGGACTTTTTAGAGTGAATCTAGCTACTGGCTATTAGTGTCCGGATCCTCCCCTACAGTCTGATCTCTGTATCTGCCCATATCCACCTGAAATGCTGTCTTTTCTCGAGTGTCAGGACAGGCTGGAACTTCGTATAGAGAAGTACTTGCTGAATGTCTACGTGCAAAAATATCATTACGTTCATACTGTGATTTAATGTACATCGATATACCTTCACCACAGATTTGTGTTAAGCGGCTGTCACACACTAAGGCCGTGTCCGAATCAACTGGCTGCGGCCGGGAGTAACACACACGTCTATGGGAAGTGGCTGTAGCTACAAGCCAGTGGCTTCCATAGGTGAACGTGTTATTTCCAGCCGCAGCCACAACTTTCGGACACGGCCTTAACATAGAATTCCAAATATTTGCAGCCTTTGTCCAGCCGTATGTTCTTCACGTCGGCTTCGTTACGGGTGATGTTATTCAACTGACAAAACATCTCTCCGGGGCCGCCTCGTCGCAGATTGAAGGAGCGGCATCGAGGCTCATCAAGGCACGCCAAGCCGCACGCGATGACACCCTTGGCCGAGAACTCCTTGATAACGTGACCGGTGAGGCAGTGGGATGAGGAGCGGGCGTCGGCGTAGCGTTGCAGGCAGGACATCGTGGGCACGGCAAGCGGAGCGAGACTCTGACAGATGACGCCCTTTCGAAACCAGCACTTAGTGTCATCCATAAGATTGAAACTACGCCGCAGTTGCATACAATCGAAACCAACTCCCCCATTTGGTTCTTTTGGTGCCCAGTTGAGGAAGTTGCATTCTCCTTCTTCACTAGACTTCACCCACTTGCCTTCCTGCTCCTTGTCATTACATCCGATCCAGAGATCCTTCTTCTTTCCGTACATTTTATAGATGAAGTTTTGTTCATCCATGGACTCTGGAATCACCAAGGCAGTGCCCATCTCCAAGCAGGCAGCATCACCTTGGTCCCACGTCATACTCTCGTTCAGGAGTTGATAGCAAAAACCTTCGAATCTCTGCTGGCCGGGTTGGCAAGCCTCGGCGTGAAAACACGCACACACGATCGCAACATTCAGCCAAAGTAACTTCATCGTGCGACCTGAGTTACAAATGAACAATTGTATTTAAAGATACTTCTTTTTGTACCGAGGATATGAAAGAGCCAATCGTCAGAAAATCTCACTGCAGAAAGTCGCAGCAGAGTTTGGATATGAACAACGCCTGTGATAATGGTACTGATCTGTTTTCCAGAAACTCTCGTTTCATAACGGGGTTATTGCCAAGATGGCTGCGCGTTTTTCATTAAAATCAGATTAAGGCCGTGTCCAAGACTCAATGCCCCAAATTTATGGCTACGTCTGTGGTCGGTATCTGCCCACGAGGCCTAGGCATAGCCTCTGAACAAGAAAGACCGTTATTCTTTACTTTCCTTAGCAACCCTCACCACGTTGATTCGCAATTACCATGCCCATAGTCAACTCTTTGGCTATTGCGTGCCTATATAAGCCATTGGATAGCTAGGAAAGGGCCGTATCGATCCAATTTTGTTCTACCTGTTGATTTTTTGGTGTTGTGGAGTGAGCACTGGCGTAAATCCGTGACTTCGAGTTGGGGGAAGGACGATGGGGATCTGTGTGGGTTTTTGTTTACCACAGCGATGGGGAGGGTTTCATTCAATACCCATCCCCCGGTCCTGAAATCTGGAACGGCCAAGGCAGTACCCATCTCCGAGCAGGCAACATCACCTATTTGGTCCATACTCTCGTTCAGCAGTTCATATCAAGAACCTGGCCAGTATCACGCCTGGCCGGGTTGGCAAGCCTCGGCGTCAAAACACGCGCACCTGATCGCAATATTCAGCCAAAGTAACTTCGTGTAAACTCATTTAGTACGAGAATGTGCGCTTTATCAACCTCGTTCCCAGAATGTCGAGAAGTACGCACCCACCACTACCTGCTCTCTCACCCTGGTATTGGATCATTTGCATGTGCAAGATTTTTGAACACGTATGCAAATGAGGAAAAGTCTAGTGCCTTCATATGCGTCACATTAGCGTTTGTTTTTGTAAGCGATGTCTGGGGTAAAAACATCAATTCGTCACTGTGAGTCACGAGAACAAGATTTTTTGGGAAGTTAAAATGTTACAATCTGGCTCGCCAATATGCAGTATCGCACTTCATACTAATATGAGCAAACTGGAAAGAAAAGGGGTATTTTTGAGAAGGCGGGGACGTTATAATTACAATTAACGTGAAAACATGCACGTTGGAAATAACAACACAAACTACACGATATAAATCCATTACTTGCAAACTGCAGTATCGAATCAGGATACAGAGAGAAACTTTCCTATCTAGGGCTTACTATTGGAAATGAGGTTGGAAATAAAACAAGCTCTGGGACGAGGTTGGACCAGAAGGGATCTGGATGCTGAGGTCAAAAAGAAAAATTCTGCTTCCGACTACATGCCTGTCAAAAATAGAGTCAAGTTGAGTAAAATTGTGACGGTTGAGTAGGCCTATTCTTAACCCTAAAGGGGCAGGTTATTTTGACCATCTCTCAGCCGGGGGGGCGCCCCCCCCCCCCCCTAAGATCTCGGCCATCGAGTGACGAAAAATTTTGAAACTCATCACATGCATAGAGCAACTCTTCCTAAACATACCCAAGAAATTTCATGACTATAGGTCAAAGGGTTTTGGAATTATGGCTAATTAATTATTCATATGTACGAATAGCAATTCTGCTCTGTGTACACGACGTATATGCGAAAATTCAGTTTTCACGGCGCGTAGCGCCGGAAATTATTTTGCTACGCGGCAACCCGTCGTCCGATTTTTATGTTTTTGGTATCAAAAGATGCGCAAGCTAGAGGCTAAAAAGTCATAACAGCTCGGGTCGCCAAATTTTTTTTTAGAGGCTATCATGGAAAATGTTGAGGGGGGGGGGGCGGATTCCGCCCCCGGCCCCTTTAGGGTTAAAATTAATGGAAAGTTCAGGTCGTGCACGCCATAATTAATATGCACAACGCCCGTCAAGCCGGGAAACGGCCAACACTGTCCGTACATCGCGCGGTATAAGCGCTCTTGTGTGGCATAACGATTGAGGACCGACCCACAAAAGGATAACAAAAGATCCTTTCAATTCCTCGAACGACGGTGCTTTCGTTGGGAAACTAGCCTTGATCAAGGCTATCAGCTTGTTCCCATGCGAGCTATTTGTTCCCGCTACCGCACACATGGCGCGACGCGACACACAAGTTGTACTACAGATATACCGTTAGCCTCAACGACCCTTGCGTGTGCTTTGTGTGCATTCACGTACACACCACATACACTTCCGCAACTTACTGTAGGCCTACGGCTGTTTGCGGAAGTGTGCGCGTGGGGCACGTACATGTACATGCACACAAAGCACACGCAAGGGTCGTTGAGGCTAACGGCATAATACAACTAGTGCATGTAGAGTGTATCGTACGTTTACGTGCTTAGTCCATGGGAAAGTGTTTAAGTACAGGGACAATGGGAAACACAATAGGAAGTCCTCAGGCGTATAGTAAAACACGACTGTGCGTGCGTGATGCACTGTGTGTGATGGGCGGCGACGCGAACCTCGTTTCTACGTTAGGGAATTTTGGGGAAACACACTGCATCGTATCACGTATACGGGTAGCACGACCTCGAAATTAAATTCATCAACACGGAATATACATGTACAGAAAAGAGAAATCAAGTTCTGCGAATTAACTTGCAAAAATGTTCTTTCTCTATCGGTGTTTTCTTGGCATTTTTACGATGTCTAATCCGACTAACTTTGTACGACCACGATAATAGATTGTAAATTGTATTTGTAAATCATCGATCATTCTGTCACGCCATAAACGCGCATGTGCGGCGATAGTGGTACGCGCGCGCGTGGTACATGAGCCACGTGACGGGCTTTCGACCAATGGGAATGGGTGAACTGTCTAAGGTTTTATGAGTACATGTATGTGCTAAAGTTGAACAATATTATTTAAATATTATTCCTTTTTAAACAGAGGAAATCAGCCAATCTTTAGAAAGTTTCACTGCAGAAAGTCTAGGTAGAAGTCTGAAATAAAAAAACCTCGTCAACAACGCCTGTGATATTTGAACTGCCACTGACACGCTTTCCAGAAATTGTCGTTTAATAACGGCGTAATTATGCATTGCCAAGATGGCAAGCAATTTTGAACAAGCAATTTTGACGCCATCAAGGATTCTTAGGTTTCCTTAGCAACCGTAACCACGTTGATTCGCTATTGCCTTGCGAATAGACAACTCTTTGGTTATTGCGTGCCTATAGCCAGTAGATACCAAGGAATTGGTCGTATCGATCCATTTTTTGTTTACCTGATGAAGTTCGTGTTGTGGAGTAAGAAGTGGCGTGATTCCGTGTCTTCGAGTGGAAGGGAAGGACGATGGGCGATTTGTGTGTTTTTGACCACAAAAATGGGGGAGGGGTTGATCCAGTTGCCAACTCCTTGGTAAAAAAAGTTGAGGATGTATCCTGCCCATCCCCACGGGATATATTTGGTTGACTAAAAGAGGAAGGCAATTGAAGAGAACTGATGAACCAATTCATCGGCAGAAAAAAAAGTGTTTTCATGTAAAATTTGGGTACAACTTCAATATCATATTTTCAGCTTTTATTGCCTTACAGCGGCTACACATACTGCAATCATTTCCACGCGTGATAGTTAAAACTCAGTGTAAGGAAAATATATTTGTGTTTATAGATCGCTAAATGTGCTATACCAATCGTGCTGAGGTATTTCAGCTTAACTGAAAACGTCGTGAAGAACTGAGGAATAACTGTTTCAAGACTAAATGAAAATATCATTCTATAAAAACAATTTTCATCAGCAAAAGTATCTTTCTGAGGGTTCTTTTGGAGAAATCCAACAAGAAATTTGTGAAGGTGTCACTCACAAAAAAATAGTGACGTTTCACTGCTACGCTAGCAGCTTCTTTAGACTGGCAACCCATACCAATCGCCACCGTCCCTTTATAGCTGCTTGAAGCTGCCGTAGAGGGCGTGTAGGGTAACACCTTCACACATTTCTTACTTGATTTGTCCAAAAGAACTTTCCGAAATATTTTGATAAAGAATCCCGTTGAACTTATTCAAAGAAAAAATTAACAACAGATTATCTTTTGATACTGAAGTCCTTTTAACCGCGTTTTGCGAAAGTGATACTAGGTACCCTTGTAACAAAAATTATCAGTAAAGAGGCATTGTGGCCTCCACACCCGAAAATGTCATGTTTTGGATGGTTTACTTATTATATTTTAAACATTTGGTTAAAGAAACCAACCTAAATGTCTTACCGTTCCCGAAAAATAAGAAAAAGTACCGGTTGTCTACATCGGACAAATCGGAGTGCGCACACGTTTTTCCTGTCGTTTTCATTCAATGTACGCTACACGTTGTGTGTGTCACATTAATTACACACAGTACTAATGCAAAAAGGTTTTCTTACACATCCGCAGAAGGCGAACACTTTACGGCTGAAATCAAAATTAGCATTGTTGTGCCACAGTAATAGATTGTGAATTTGTATTGGTCCATCATCGATCATTGTGTTGCATGTAGGGCGATAGTGGTACGCGCGCGCGTGGTACATGAGCCGCGTGACGGGCTCCCGACCAATAGGAATGGGTTAACTGTCTTAAGTTTTATGAGTACATGCAGGTGTAAAAGTTGAACAATATTATTTAAATATTGTTCCTTTTTGACCAGAGGAAATCAGCCAATCTTTAGAAAGTTTCAGCGCAGAAAGTCTAGGTAGAAGTCTGAAATAAAAACCCTCGTCAACAACGCCTGTGATATTTGAAATGGCACTGATCTGTTTTCTAAAAACTGTCGTTTAATAAAGGCGTCATTATGCATTGCCAAGATGGCTGCGTGGTTTTCATTAAAATCAGAACAAGCAATTTTGACGCCGTCGAGGATTCTTTTTTTTTCCTCAGCAACCCTGACCGCGTTGATTCGCTATTGCCTTGCGAATAGACAACTCTTTGGTTATTGCGTGCCTGTAGTCAGTAGATATCAAGAAATTGGTCGTATCGATCCATTTTTGTTTACCTGACGAAGTTCGTGTTGTGGAGTAATTCCGTTTCTGCGATTTGGAAACGGGCGATGGACGATTTGTGTGTGTTTTTCTTTTACCACAAAATGGGGGAGGGGTTGATCCAATTGCCAACTCCTTGGTCAAAAAGTTGAGGATGTATCCTGCCAATACTGTATAGATGACCCAAATGCTAGGTGACCCAGGTACGAGTTGACCTATTTGACCCAGGTACGAGTTGACCCAGGTACGAGTTAACCAAGGTGCGAGTTGACCCAGGCACAAGTTGACCCGTTCACTTCCTCCTTGAATAGTATTGTACACAAGGTTGCATTGCAGTCATGCGTTTGAGTTCGCTTGCTATGCCCTACCAACGTCGTGCCAACGATCATGTTGTCCAAAACTGCCAATCCTAAAATCAATCCTGATTTTTTTTATGACATCAAAATATGTAGGGCCTAGATACCAAAAACCTAACTGATGTTGTCAATGGGCATATAGCTTTGACATTTCATACAGATATTCGTCGAAGTATGCACAATTTATGACGTCATCATGACTCCGTCAGTTTGACAAAATACAAGGGTAGACAATAATTTTACAAAAAACAGCTTTTCACTCGTCAGTCAATAAATTGGGTCTTGAAAAGAATTCAACTTTCTGTCATTGT